TATTATTATTATTTTTTTTTTGGCAGTACTGGAGTTTGAACTCACAGCCTCATGCTTGCTAAGCAACTGCTCTTCCACTTGAGCTACACCATCAACCCTTTTTTATGATGGTTGATTTTTGAGATAGGATCTCGTGAACTATTTGCCTCTGGCTGGCTTTGAACCATGATCTTCCTGATCTCTGCCTCTTGAGTAGCTAGGATTATAGGCATGAGTCACTGGTGCCCAGCTTCATGCTATTTTTTTTTTTAACCTCAGGGAATGATTATGAGGATGCAAACAGAACAGGGAGGCAAATCAGAGTTCTAACTGAGTGTTATTTCAAATAATTATTTACTTAAAGTAGTTTCTGATATTTCATGGCCATTTTTAGAATGTCTCTAATACTTGATTTATTATTGCTATGATTTAGTTGTTACTAAATAGAAAGTGAAACAAGTGAAGGCTAACTGTACTTTCACAATCAAATTTCAATGCATTTTCACTTTTCCTAAAGCCTTAGCGAAAGACAGCCCTCCTGTGGAGCCTGGACTGCTAATAGCTGAAGAAATTTCTTGGAAGTCTCTGAAGCCACGAAACCTTGTTCTGAAGATTCACACACATGCCACCAAGGCCATGATGGTGCGTCTGCCTGTCGGGTATGGGCTGACTACATTCTTACACTTAAATCTCTTGTAGCCTTTTAAACTGTTGACTGATAAAGAAATGAACAATGCTGACTACAGGATACCATTTCACCAGATGTGTATCTATAATTCAGATTCTTGAGAGAAATAATTCTGTAATGAATGAATTGAAAAATACTCTGGATGTCCTTTTAGAAGATTTGTTATGATTAATGATTCTAGGACCATTATTTTACCCAGGAGTTTCTAAAATTAATTAATCAATGAATCACCTTTGTTTTCTCATAAATCTTGTATTCCTCAGCAAGAAACTTGATTCCATTTAAACACAAATTGAGAAACATAGCATCTCTCCTCAGCAATCTAGACTTTCACCAGTGGTTTGTTTTTTACATACTACTTTTAATCAAGATAAGTTAGCTAGCTAGGTCTGGCGGTGCACATTTGTAATCCCAGCTACTCTGGAGGCAGAGGCAGAAGGATCCCAAGTTTGAAGCCAGTGTGGGCAAAGGTAATAAGGCTGTATCTCAAAAAACAAAAGGCCTAGCATGCATGAGGCCTTGAGTTCAATCCCCAGCACCAAGAAAAGGAACACTAGATAAAAATAAAGGCTGTGTAATGGAAGCATGTTCTTGATTTTGGCGATGAAACTCAGAATATTCCCTCATGTTTCAAATGAAATATTTCCAGGGAATTGTTTTCTCCAAGATCTGTCATGCTAATTCTGTGTGACCAATGAAAACTAAGGCTCTTTTCCAAAGAGCAAATCCTAAGCAGCAAAACAATCACAAGGCATTCAGTATTTCTGACAAATATATATATTGGCCAGAGGGGCATGGCTTCAGTGACAAAGCACCTGTCTAGCAAATGTGAGGCAAAGAGTTCAAAGCCCACTGCTGCCAAAAAAAGAAAACAATTTAAACATCACTGTTTCTCTCACCTGGACTCTGGCAGGGAGAAAGTCTCCCAGAAAGCAAGTCACTTTGCATACTCAGCCAAAGGGAATTACTAAGGAATCTGCCTGGAGCCACATTTTCAAGCTCTAAGCCAGCAGCCTGCACGTTGTGAGTGTGCACTAAATTCCCAGCCATGGAGGGAAGCAAATGTCCCCGTTCTTGACCACACTGCCACCTGGTGGGATAAACACAAGTAGCATGCATGACAAGATGGATTTGTCTAGAAAAGACTAAGAAATTTACCAAGACCTAAACTCACAGATGTGTTGTGCTTGTTAGGGAGAAGCCAAGACAAGTCTTTCACAGTGTGAAGGCAGCGTGTGGGAAGTGTCTCCAGCAGAGACAAGTTGATTATTTACTCTAACCGTATTTCCCCCTTGCAATGGGTAGCACATAGATTCCATGACCACTGAGAGTTCTTCTAGAGTGAAAATTCAATGGTCTTTGTCCTATCTATGTTAGAAAAGATTCAACTCTTCACTAACTTAGAGGCTTAGCGTTCTAAACTGTCAGCAGGCAGCCAGCAGAGGTGAAGACGACAGGGAAAAGCATGGTCCTCACCTGTGTCCACTCTCCTTAGGAGACACATGCTGCTCTTCACTGCCCATTCCCCAGTGGGACATGCCATACACGTCTGCAGCATGGTGACTTTTGTCATCGGGGATGAAGATGTTGTGCTACCTAACTTCGAGCCGGTAAATATTTCAGCAGCTGCTTTGAGAGAGAGAGAGAGAGAGAGAGAGAGAGAGAGAGAGAGTGTGTGTGTGTGTTTGGAGGGGCATGCTTTATCTTCAAAGTTTTGAACTAAATTTTATTTCTATTTTTTATTTAACTTACTCATATTTTTCCTTAAAATTAACATATTCTTGAAGAAATGCCCTGGATATAATCTGCATAGTGAATAGTCCAAACTATGTAGGGATACAAATAATTATTTTTCTCCAACAACTACCTTCACCTCTACTCTGTTGAGCCCCCTTTTGCATCTGTTAAAATATCAGGTAGATTTCATAGTACCATTGCTCCTTGGTCCTTTGGGGTAATAAAGTCCTTTCCAATGAAATATGAAATTCTGGTATCTCTCTCTCTCTCTCTCTCTCTCTCTCTCTCTCTCTCTCTCTCTCTCTCTCTCTGTCTCTTTCTCTCTCTCTCAGTTCATTCCTGCCTAAGGAATATGGAGTGTACATCTCAGATTCTGAAGGTAAAGAATGGACTATAGAAGATTCTATCACTTTCCCTTCATCTCTCTCTCTCTCTCTCTCTCTCTCTCTCTCTCTCTCTCTCTCTCTCTCTCTCTCTCTCTTTTGTTTCTCTTATTCCTCTGCTCTGACAGGGCAAATGATGCCAAACCTACCTCTGAAGTTTGGTCTTCATTTTAGATGTCCTCACGTTGCCCATGTGCATTTAGGAGAAGACTAGAATATGGCTTTTCCCATGCGTAATTCCTGAGACTTCATTGGATCTAAGAACTCTTCTCTAAAAGCCAAGCAAAACAAAACAACCAAACAAAACAACTCGAGGTGGTACAGCCACATATCAGTGGGATTCACTAAGCCAGGCAGCAAATCTTGTAGCAACAGAAAGGCTTCCTTCCACCATGTCCTCATTGCCAACACCTGTCTCACTCATGTAATTCAGATAGGCAGTGGCAGGGCATGATTCTCCTGGGCTCTCCTCTGTTCGTTGTGCCATCTCTCACCATGTCCTTCCATTCTGCTCCATAGACACAGAAGGATCAGCAAGTCCATTCCACGAGCAGGTGCTCCTTAGTTCCTTCATCATGATTGCACTGCTTATTTTAATTTCTTATCCTTTTAAAAATAAACGTCCTCGAGATGCAATGCGTTATCCTGCTTTTTGTCTCATAGGGTATTTAATGGGCAAGTGATCACTTATTTTGGTATGTGAGCTCATGTTTCCCTGGAGCTATCGTGGCTCTATCTTGTAAGGTTATTGGGATGTAAGCCCCATCCTCATTGCTCTTTGATTTAATGAAAAGCACAGAAGGATACACTGGCCCAAGATCAAAGAGATCAAGTCCCCCAGAGCCATAACTGACCAGTCTCAATGCTGCCACTTGACCACACAACTTCTCTGTTCAGATTCACCTTAAGGAGAAACACCACTGACATGAGGCTCTCTCTAGATTTGGGGGTTTGCAAGGTAATGGAGAGGCACATGGATTAAGATAGCAAGTCAGCTGCATCTGTTCCATCAGCTTCTCACCCAGTAAGGTACCGGTGATGTGTAGGCACTCTTGGGCCATCCCTCAGGATTTGTGCAAGCAACCAAGGAGCAATGCTTGCACTATGGTGCCCCCTAGGGGAGCAGTAAAGACAGAGGTCACAGTTTTCCTCCAACTTCACTGCTGAACTCTGCTGTCACCAAGCACCTCTTGCTCCCTGCAGCTCCTCCACTATACCATGCACCAACTAAGGCAGTCTTCAAACCCCTCAGGCTTTTCCCAGATTTCCAAAAATTAGTTATCAGTGAGATCCCTGTCTCCCTCCTGCTCCCTGCAGCTCCTCCACTATACCATGCACCAACTAGGGCAGTCTTCAAACTCCTCAGGCTTTTCCCAGATTTCCAAAAATTAGTTATTGGTGAGATCCCTGTCTCCCGCTTGCTCTCACTCTTTCTCAGAGTGGATAGTGGAAGGGGACTGGCAGCCCAAGCTTACTCACTTTCTTGTCTTTTTTATCTTTATGACTTTCTTGTTGCAATCTTTTCTGCCCTTCAGGCCTATGTCCCACACAATTTTTCTCAAACTAACTCCTAGACATTCTTCAGAAATAACTCTGGATATTAATACTGTGGAAGAATTTTCCCCAACCCCCAGTGTGTTCCCACTTATGTGAGAACTGCATTCTTTGTTTTGTGTATCTGAGACCCATGTGCCATCCAGTAAAATGTTGTGAGTGAGCAAGTTATCCATCCATAACTGGTGAGTCAATCATGCAGCAGGTGATTTCCTTTTCCCAGAAATTAAAAGTTTGTTTACTTATGTACACTTACGTGAACATGAGGGTGACTGTTGTGTGTGCTTTGTCTTCACAGGAGAGCTACCGATTTGTAGAGCAGTCTATAACAATTCTGAAAGCTGTTGGAAGTGTGATTGCAAATTTCAAAGATAAGCGTAAATTTTCTGCAGCTATGAAGGACCTGCAAGCAGCTCACTATCCTATCCCCCTCCACAACAAAAAACTCACTGCACAGCACTTCAGGGTGAGCTTTTTAAATATGAAATTAAGTAGTCCTATGTGGCAAGAAAGTGATAAAAACTCTAAGCATTATACTTTCCTTTTTAGTAGCACATTAAGTACTAGTGTGGCTTTCCATGGATGTCATCTTCCAATCAATGAAATATGGTCTTTAACTTGCTTAAATACAAGGATCGGATTTTTTGTCTTACTCTACATCTCCTTGCTTTGTGCTATATTTTGATTAGCAATACAAACATTATTGTAGTTACTAAATGTGAAATGGTCAAATAATAGTTTTGGTCTCTTATTGGGTGAGTGAGACTTTAAAGACTCTACTATATAGATCCTATATGTATCTGAGAACTGTTTTTTGTATCTTTATTTTGAAAAGTATTTACAGTTCTTAGAAACTCCCTGGCCAGGTTATGGTATTCCTTTGGTTTAAAAAAAAAAAAAGTGAGCCATGGTAGCCGTGGTAGTACATGCCTGTAACAAACAAATAAAAATAAAAAATTATATGTACCTGTATCTTTTTTCAGGTTTTCCACATTTCTTTATGGCGTTTAATGAGAAAAGTTCAAATAACAAAGCCTCCTACAAACTTCAAATTTGCATTTCGTGCTATGCTTTTGGATATGGAGTTACTTGATTCCTCCTTCGAGGAAGTTTCTTTAGGTACTGATTAACTTTAGGTATTTGACTAGGAATTTCCAGTCTCATATTAGTAATTTGAGAAGAGTGAACTCAAGGCTGTGTGCTGTCTGTGTAACAGGTCTGCATGGACACTCATGGAGTGAGCTCAAGGAGTTCCCAGAGGCAGCTGAGTATCCCTTCTAATACCCGACACACGCTTCCAGGGTCACCTAGAATTTCCCTGCTTTATGTGTTTCTAACCTAAAAACACATAAATCACTGATCTGCATGGTATGATTTGAGAAATTCTAAGGACCTTCAACCCAACTGACCTACTTCCTTGGCTTCCAAGAGTCTGTTTCTTCTCCTGCCATGTTAATGTGTCCTTCAGTTCTGAGGAGAGAGCCTCTGGCTATTACTACAGATGAATCTATAGCAGTTCACTGAGGTGTTCCCTTCTCCAGAACATTTATGTTCTAAAAAGACAGTGGCAATGTAAAATTTATTGGCAAATCTTTCATTGTGGCATTTTTTACGTGGGAGGACTTTAGCAGGCACAGGCATTGAAACTTGGGGAAAGGATGAAAAATAACTCTCGGTCAAGTGTCTTCCTTTTCTCCTCTTTCCAGCCGAATGGGTAGACTTGAAATGTTCTGTGCCAACAATGGAGAGAGAGTACTCTCCAGAAGGAGTAGCAGCAGCAGTTAAAATCCAATCTATGTGGAGAGGGACCTATGTTAGGCTCCTCATGAAAGCCAGAATGCCAGGTATAATTGTTCACATTGAGAACTTGTGTTTCTTGGAATGAATATTTTGTTTCTATGTGTTAATGGGAAATATTTTGGAATCACTGTATGGCTCAGTTAATTAATTTTTATTCTGCAAATACTGAAATTCATTGAGATTAAGACGAAGTCCGTGTGCATTCTCTTCTTCCTGCAATGTAATACAGTGCCTGGCTTGCAGTAAGTATATGATTAACATTTTGCTGGAAGGATTCATGAATAAATGAATGAATAAGGAAGTGATCAGCTTTGTTTTCCCAATCTGTTTTGAGTTCTTTTCAAACAAAGAACTGGTCTTTCTCCCTGTATGTCCCCAGTGCCTAGCAATAGGCTGCATCAGTCAGTTTCAGCTAAGTCAGAGATATTTTAACATTTCTAGGCTGGATTTCAAAGAAGTGAATAAATGAGTAAATGAATGAATGGCTGAGTGAATAATAAAGACACCTGCAGGCATGTCCTTGGTAACATATACTTAAAAAGCCCAAAATTCATGTTAATTGTTCTAGATTTATTATATCAAATATATTTAGGTGTATGGAATGAATTTTTGTGATAAGGTTAATTTTATTGGCTTGTAATAAAGAGCAGATGTAGAAATTATATTCAATCGTTTTTATCTTATGATTTCCACTGATAATTTCGTAGGAAAACACTTCCAACAGAATTCTTTGGTTATATTGAAGCATTTTGTTATAAAAACATCTTCATTTGATTATCAAATCATGAAATCAGAATTTTTTCATGTATTGCTGGGGATTCACCTCAGGCCTTGTGCTTGCTAGGCAGGATCTCTACCACTTGAGTCACTCCTCCAGCCAAAACATCTGTCTTTGACACATTAGTGACAATATTCAAAATGTTCATCTAAGGAGGAAAAGCTATATATACAGAAAGGTTAAAGGTCAACTTTGCAGTTTTGTAATAGAAAAATATCACAAAGTCGGGCATGATTGTGGAAGTTGAGGCAGGAGGATTGCGAGGCAGCCTAAGCTACATAAGACCCTGCCTCAGAAAAGCAACAGCCCCCAAACTCCTACTCCCTGATCTTTATGTTTTTTTCCTATTAGGAACAAAAAAATCTATGCATTTATCAAACTAAATGTAAAATATGCTTTTTGTTGTCCCTGTGAGTTATAAAAATTATATTCAAACAATGGTGTTGTTCCCCATTTTAGAAACTGAAAAACTTGAGCAATTTAACAATGTACTTAAGAGAATTTCTGTGAGTCACACATACTTATTGACTAAATCTTGTGTATGATGCACTGTTGTGGATTCTGACCTTCCAGAAGTCAGTGACACAATGACTTGTGTGTCTCAGTTACGGTAGCATATGGAAGATAAGTAAATATAGGAAGGTGTCATCTCAGATGCCCACACAAGATAATTAGAAAGACAGTCTCAGTTCCTGACACCTCGTTAACCTTGAGGTGTTTACTAGGGATTGAATGTTTCCACAGTTTACCTAATTTTAAGCCATTTTGTGGATTACGTCACAATTGATTTTAGTGGAATCCCATTAGCTCTTGTTCTTTAGAAAAATTGGATGGATTACTTTTTCTAAAATAAGGTTTTCTATAAGGAATCTTTGGTGTTATGTAAATTACTTGATGAGTACCTTAAAAGTTTTTATGATTTTTAAACTAAGGGTGTAAGGAAATAGCATAATATTGTAAGCAGAACTCTTGACTAAATGCGATTTTTCTGCTGGTAAATCTTATGAATTTGGAGCGATCTTCCTTATGAGTTTAAGTTCTTCATCAGCAAAATGAAAGGTGTGTACAAGATGATCTTTCAGGAATCTTACAATTTAATGCCATTATTTTTATTATTACTAGAAACAAAGGAAAATATCAGTGTTGCAGAAACTCTTCAAAAAGTTTGGGCGATATTGGAACTGAACATGGAACAGTATGCACTTTCTCTCTTAAGGTAAAAATCACTGTCATCTCTTTCTAGACCACTAGTGGTTAGAGAACCATCTTGTATGGTCATCTCCACCTGAGATAAATAAAAAACCCTGGATTCTAGCAGGATAGAAGAGATAAGATTCACAGGAACTATCTCATTTTCACTTCCACCATGTTGTGAAATATGCCATCCCCTTCCAGGAACAAGAAAGCTCAGTCCATAATTCTTTTAACCAGTTGTATGTATGAGTCCCTCCTGCACCAGAAATCATGCAGAAAGGAAACTCTAGTACTCCCCCCTTGTTCATACCCTTTGTTTATTCAAACCTACTTTTTCAAACCCATTGTTCACATAAAACTCCATTTTAGACTCTGTTCTCTGTCTCAGTTCTGGATCCTTCAGTGGCTCCTATTCTGTTTTACGGGTGATTTGTTTGTTTCTAGTTTTCTTGCCTTACACAGTAGACCTTTGGTCTCTGTGGGTGTATGGCTCTAAGGAAGCCACTACTGAGAGAAAATTCGCATGTGCTTAGGATGCTTCGTGTTCAGAACTGTACTATGGACTTCCACTAAAGACTTTGAAGGCTCTACTGCATAGATCCTATATGTATCTGAGAACTGGTTTTTGTCTCTTTATTTTAAAGAGTATTTACAGTTCTTAGAAACTCTCTGGCCAGGTTATGGTATTTCCTTGGTTTAAAAAAAAAGTACCAATGATTTAAATTAGTAAACATTTGGATTTTTCCCATGTTCATGAATTACATTCAATTAACAGCTTCAGGTAACTTTGAGAACCTTTTGGAGACTGTCTTTCATAGTTGACCTGGGATGGGCTCCCCTTCCAGTTACCACAAATCACCTGGCCTGCTTTGATCAGTAACTCAATCTAGCAAACAATGTCCTTCAAATATTTATGCTATTGGGGAGGGAGTATTTCTTTTTTTGTAAATAGTTTTTTTTAAAAAAAACCCTGAATTTTATCATTGACAATTTATTTTTACATTTCTAGACTAATGTTTAAAAGCAAGTGTAAGTCTATGGAATCCTATCCATGTTATCAAGATGAAGACACTAAGATTGCTTTTGCTGACTATACAGTGAACTATCCAGATCAGCCACCAAATACGTGGTTTATAGTATTCAGGTGAGTTTATTATACACTGGCAAATAAGTGACAGGCAGTATTCATATCATATCTTGAGAGTGTTAATTATGGCAGTAAAAGTATCCAGCTTCTAGGTTGCTTTCATATCTTAGTTGAAATTCTTCCATGATTGCTATTCATGGATGAGATAATATGGAAATTTTTATTCATGTTCTTTACATAAAAATATAAATACTGTGAAGTAATTAAGACCTTTTTATGAATACAAAAAAACCCATGACAAATTGATGTGTTTTTGTTGTAGAAACAAAGTCTTTAGTTTCCAAGCAATTGCATATCAGGTGCAAGTCACAAATTACTTAAAAAGTGGGATTTCTTCATTTATGTGTCAAAGTGGCACATTAATAATAATTTTAAATGAAAATAATATCCAGACCTTGCATTTATTTGAAACTTTAAACTTTTAAAATAATTCCTTGTCATTAAATTTAATTTTAAACTTGACGGTTCATGTTACTGAAAGGTTCATACTTTTGTGATTACAGAGAAACATTTTTGGTTCCTCAAGATATGATTTTGCTCCCCAAAGTGTACACTACTCTTCCGGTCTGTATGCTTCACATTGTCAATAACGACACCATGGAACAGGTGCCAAAGGTGTTCCAAAAAGTAGTGCCTTATCTTTATACCAAGAATAAGGTAGGTGTAAAATTTGTTCTCCCCATAGGGCAGAATGGAGCCACCTGGGAGAAAGTAGGGCAGAGATACTTTCAATCTTCCTAAGACAAACCTGGGCTTTCCTTATACAACTCCCATTGTCTCACAGCAGGAAATAGTGAATGTGGATGCTGGAGCACTCTTTACATTACAAAAGGAAAGCATTAGAAATTCTAATTGTTGAAATCATAAAACCACATAAACCTTACAACAGAAACCCATCTAAAGAGCTGATTTAGTCCAATCCTTACATCAAATCAGGGGTTGTTTCTGTTTCACACTGAGCTTTTATTCTACTCTTCAACATTTCAGATTAAGATAATAACCTCACCCTCCAGGAAAACTGAATAGCTCTTTTGAGCTGTGTTTGGGACTTTAAGAAACTTTTTAAAAATTAGGGCTATAAAATTCTTGACAAACCTTATATATATACCTATCTATATATAGGTCCATGTGTGTGCATAGTAATATTTTTTAAACTTTAATTTTATTGAGTGTTTTACTATTCATTACAATTTAAAAGCATATGTTTTATTAAACTTAGCAGTTTTCTATTATTTTTCAGCAGATAAATTTTTTTATTACAGTCAGATTTTACTAAATTTGAATATATAAAATTGTAGCTTGCAGCTTAAATTATTATTACTCTTTATTAAATTGGGCAAACTTAACATTTATATTTGATGAGAAAATCTGATAAATATTAATATCCCATGGCTATCTATATCTACTATACACTAAAACATAATTTTAAAAACTCAATTGATTAAAGCCAGTAAATCAATCTTATTTATATTTAATCATAGTGTTTTTCTTAATGTTCATTACTTTTCTTAGTTTCTTTGGAAATGATATTCATAATGCACTTCGATCTATTTGCTAATGAAAGTCAATTTCTTCACACTAAACACTTACTTAGCCTATAGAATTTCCTTTTCCACTATATTTATTTTTTGTGTACTAATAAATGACATTTTATTAAAAATTATGACACTATGAAATTTCCCTTGCCTCTACATGTTACCTCTGTACAGCACAGCACCTTGTATTTAACCAAACACTAGAGAAAAAAACAAAACAAAACTAGTGCTTCCATAACAAATTCGTCTTTACACCAGTACACTATTTCTTCAGTGTTGTTTGTCAAGTTTGACTTACACTTCTTTTGAATAAAATTAATCTATTTTATTTGTGATTAAAAATTATTTTTAAAAAAACCTCAAATATCAAGAGCAAATAGATGATTGTGTTTAAAAGGAAACTTTCTAATGGTTCACAAATAACATCCAATTCTAGAAATGTACCTTAGACAATATTTACTAATTTAAATCATTGGTACTTAATTTTGGAAGGAACCTTTAAAGAATATTTAGTTGAATTAAATAAGAATTAAGAACCAATTGTTGCATACACCCAGCATGCTTTTTTTGGGGGGGGTTGGGTTTTATTTGACTTTTTTTTTTTCGAACTTCAGTGATGACCTAGCTCCTTAGACTAACCTTCAGTAATTTGGCCTTCTGTAAATGGGCATTTTGATTAAATATGTGGAAGCACATTGTATCTGCATTTCACAATTATTTTAAAAGATACATTTGAATTGTCCCAAACACACCCATTCCCGCCTCTCATATTTTCTCTTCTACACTCTTATTCAGCTAACTTTTTATGAAAAATAAACGGAAAGAGTGGAAATAAGAATGTAGAGCTGTGTGAATAGAATAGTTTCAATGACCCCTTTCTTGGTACAGTTTTCTTCTGTTCCTCAAATTTTAAATGTTTCTTCAAATTATCCATATCCCTGCTAAAACATGACTCTCAGAACAAAATGCTGCTTCTGAACACCAGTCTGAGCCACCTAAATATAAAGAGGTCATTACTCCCTTATTTTGTGGCCTGCCATTGTATCAGTGCTGTGGCACCAACAAAGCATGTGACATATGACATTGTTTAAGGTCATCAATTTCCAATGGATAGCCATAAAACAAGATATATTTATGAAAAACATAGTGTCTTAAGGCTTAAAAATAAAAATACAGTAGTTATTTCAATAACTGTTATTTCAAGACTTCACAGAGCACTGGGCACAGGTGGCTCACACCTGTAATCCTTCTTAACTACTCAGAAGGCAAAGATCAGCCCTGAGTTCAAACTCCAGTACTGCCAAAAAACAAAGACTTTGCAGAGTCTTTAATAAGCTAATTTATATTGCATACCTTCAGAAAGGACAATAATACACATTATTCCACAATGGAACTTTGTAGTATATCTTAGCTCAAAATTGCACAGAACACAATTTCGAAAATACTATTTATAGTAGAATCCTTGTAAGTTTCCATATGGTCTTTCTATCTCTCTTCTCTTTATCTCTGTCATTAAATAATTGGAAATAGCCTTTATTAACCATCTTGGTGATTAATTGAGGAGGTTTCACTGGACAAGTGAACACCTTTGGCTAGATAGACAATGTCTAAATCTCTACTAAACAGCTAGGTAGCAGGTTGCCCTGGGTGCTGCCCAGCAGTGGTCACTCTGTGTGGTGGGCTCATCAGCAAGCTTTCTGGCCCATCTGAAATCACCAGAAGTCTTGTCCTATGCCTTCTTGAAAACCATGATCATGATGTCTATGATACTGAGTTGATTTTGTATCTTTTAATCTTATCAAAAAAGAAATGAAGGTCTTGTTCCCAATAAGCTCATGCTGGCTTTTAGGAATCTGTGCCTTTGTTCTTTTGTGTATTCATGAGGCATCTTTTTCAGGATCTGCTGTGGGCTCTTGTTAAACTTACTAGTATGCGTTGTGCAAGAACATACTCTTCTTCAATTGAGAAAAAGTCAGAGTTGTTTGCTTTATTTCTTTCATAATTACTAAAAGACCAAAGAGTATGATTCAGAATACTCTCCTAAAGGATTTCTTAGTTCTGTCCTCCAACCTGAGAGCTCATCTCCAGATCCACATCCAGCTCTGTGGATCCGATCAGTTGTACGTCAATAGCTACAGTACTATCAAATCTTGCTTTCCTCATCTCAGTATTTTAGAGAAATGAATCTTGGAGACAGAAGAATCAAATAGTTCATTATGGCGCTCCCCCAGGATGATGCAATGGTTTAAGCATTAGAAGAAATCGCAGTAACTATCTACTGCAGTTAAAGCACTTTATTTTAGACTTGAAGAACCACACAAGGGAAAATGTTAACATTGATCATTTTCCTGAAAACATGTAAAGCATATGACATGATTTTATTTTTGCAATTCTAGGGATCAAACCCAAGGCCTAAGCAAGTGCTCTGCCACTGAGCAATGTCCCCAGCCCTAAGATGATGCTGTCTAAGCGGGACTTCCAACATAATGCTAATGGTTCAGTGTTTATTAAGAGGTCGTAGGACCCATATGTATATCCAGAAAATAAAGCATCTGATGTCATGCTATACATTACACATTGGAGAGACCTGGACAATGCATCTCATCTCTGTGTAACTGCACTTTCTTCCAGAAGGGGTACACATTTGTGGCTGAAGCATTTACTGGTGATGTGTTCGTGACAGGCTCACGATGGAAACTGTGCCTCATTGGCTCTTACACTCCACTCCCATGCCTCTCCAGAGACACTCCATCCAATACCTTCGCCATAAAGGAAATCAGAGATTACTACATACCCAATGATAAGAAAATTTTATTCAGGTATATAAGGCATTCTTTTTTAAATGTTATTATTTTAGGTAAAAAATAAATTCCACTGCAAAATCCTAAGTGGTTTGAATTTCAATTTCTGGACTCCTTTGGAAACAACTAATTTAAAGTAGCATGATTATGTAGGACCAAGCCTGAATAGTTGCATATAATGGTAGGCATATTTTCTTAGACTTCATCCTACTTGACTTTTATTAAGCATTCTTCTTGATACTGTTATTATTACTTGATACTGCTCTTACTATTTTCTCCTTGTTCTGCTCCATCTCTGACTAGTCTCTAGAAGTGTTCTTCTTTACCTGTCAACTTGACCTTTATTTCATGCTTATCTATGTATGCTCTCCTTGACCAGCTTCAGCATGGACTACTCTCTTTCAGTAATTGGTTCTGTGGATTCTGATTTTGACATGCCTCTTCCCTTTATGCTTCCTCTCTATTCTCAATATCCTTGCACTACTTCAAGTTCTCATTATGTTTGGTCTATCAAATTTCATTTCTGGACTCCATGACCCCATTATGTTTCTCTTCTTAATGCTTTTATCATTCCCATATTCATTTACATGTCCATCCTTTACTACCAGAACAGTTACCTTTCTAACATACCAGAACAGTGCTTTTTGAATATAGTATGTATCTTCATTAAGTAACAGTTGGCATTGAGTACGTTGTTGGAATATTTATCTTCTCTTTTTAATATATACTGTTTTAACCAGAAAATTTGGAAAATATACTCATATATTTTTAGGTAAGTTAAAGTCACCCATAATCAGACAACCTAAAAAAAAATGTTAGTATTTTGTTGTATTTTCTTATACTTTTTTCCTAGTCACAGTTTAACATCATTGAAATCATTAGAGAGTTTTGTAATCCTGAACTTTTTATGTAAGATTATATTATGAACATCTATTAATTCCACTAAAGTATTTTGTGAGCTCTACTTTATGATTGCCCAGTAATCACTCATTGTGAATATACAGAAACTGGCTTGACTGTAAGTTATTCCTCATTGTTACAATTGTCCATGTTTACATTTTCTATCATAATAACTAAGATATGGTGGGCATATTTTATTGTGAATATTAGAAAAAATTCTAAATTACTTTGTATGGATTATTAAGGTGATTACATATTTAAAGAAACAATACATTGGTAAATTGGTTTGTAAAAGGAAAGTCTAAGTCTTTCTGACAACATATGCACAAATAATAATTTACTGTATGTATCTAATTTTTTCCTATAACCCTTATTTAACTTTACTTTAAAGCTTAATTTCTATTAAAATGAACAAATTTCTGAAATAAAAAATATTCAACATAAAATTAAATTATAGAACTATGCATAATCCCCAGTATAATCCCAAATACAATGGTAAGTATATGTTTTAAAGTTTATATATATATATGTATATATATATATATAATATATGTTGTGTGTGTGTGTGTGTGTTACATGTAGGTAAACAGAGAAATTTCTGAAAGAAAACACACTATACTGTAGGCAATGGGAGAGACAGAGGATTCAATCATCAAAGTTTCTTCTTATAATATGCTTGCATATTACTTATCAGAAAGAAAATAAGAAAAAAGAAGGAAGCACCAATAACTAACTTTAATATCTAAATTAGTTCAGAAGCTGGCCTTAACGCTGCCAAGATGAGTAGTAAGGAGGGTAGGAACTGCTTGAGTAGCATATGGGAAAGTTTATCATCTTACCTGGGATCAAAAAACATTTGTTTTGTTTACAACATGGATTTCTAGGATGCAGTGAATGGCAAGTGTGTAGGACAGACAGTAGTAGACACAGCCTTTTCCTAAAGGACCTTCTAAGACAAGACATACAGACTTTACCTTAGGAGCAAAGGAATGTTTTAAAGAAAACTGCCACTGTTTTTAAGAAAACTGCCACTATCAGTCTCCTGTTTAAGAATTACATTTGCAAAGCAAAACAATTAAATATCATGTCTGAGATATTTAATATTATAAATTATAATTTATAAAAAAATTATAAATTTTTTATAAATTTATAACCATATTATAACCATATTATTGTGAAAAAAAGTTATAACCATATTATTGTGAAATTGTATTTAATTATAAAAGATGTGGAATTTGAAGAAAAAAAAAGTTTACTCAAAAGCCTGCAGTGTTTTGAATGGACCGAAGAGTGTTTAAGAATTACGTTTGCAAAGCAAAACAATTAAATATCATGTCTGAGACAGAAAAAAAGTTATAACCATATTATTGTGAAATTGTATTTAATTATAAAAGATGTGGAATTTGAAGAAAAAAAAAGTTTACTCAAAAGCCTGCAGTGTTTTGAATGGACTGAAGAGCAGGCAGAAAGCTGTGAGATAATTCCATATGTGAAGATGGCAACCTAAGATAGGAATGCACTGGACCCCTAAGGCTGCCTTAACAAAGTTCCACACGTGCAGTGGCTAGAACAACAGAAGTATATCTTCTCACAGTTCTGGGAGCTCCAAGCCTGAATCTAGGTGTCAGTAGCGGGTATCTCTTGAAGGATGTGGGGAAAAATCTGTTCCTGGATGTTTTTTTTCTGGCATCCCTGGGTTTTCTGGTGTTTCTTGGCTTGTGGATACATCACTCTGATCTCTGCTTCCATCTTTATTTGGTATTTCCCCTCTGTGGCTGTTGCCAAATTTCCCTTTTTTATAAAACCACCAGACATATAGAATCAGGACTCTCCATAATAACCTCATTTTAGATTTACCTCTGAAAAACCTCATCTGCTGAGAAGGGACTGGGCTGGACAGGACTCCAATATAGCTTTTGTGGAAGGAGGGGACACAATTCAACCCATCACAGACAGTGAGGTGGATCTGGAGAGAAAAAGTTTTTAAATATTGAGGTAAAATCAACATGCTAGGTTCATTGGGACTCCTGAAACTTGACTTAAGGAAATATTTCGATGGTTTCATTTACTTAGGTAGAGGAGAAGGAGAGAAGCCCATTTGCAAGGTGTTCACTAGGAAGATGATTGATGCCTTGTTAAATGCAGTACACTAGTGACAGCCATGTGACACTGCATAGGTAGGTAGGCTGGAGACTTTAATTTGGGAATCTTTATTCTCTTTCAGCTCATGGAATGCCTAGGAAATTTTTGTAGAATGAGAGTCATTCTCATTGTACAGAATGAGAGCAAAGCATTAAGATTCTCTGACATTTGTGAATCCCAGTGGAATAGAAACCTGAAAAAAATAGCCTTGGAAAGGGGTGAATGTATAAAGTTTTCTGTGCTCTTGGAGCACAGCTCTTGGAGGAGCTGGGGGTTGATTCAACCCAATCCAATTCTCCTAAGAGGTCAAGGAAGATGAGACATGAAGTTTCTATATGGTAGTGACAAGAATGTGTTTAGCACATTCTTGGTTGAATGTTGGTGGCAGAACAAGTGAATGAGAGATGATGGGTGAGAAGAGCAGAAGCAGGCCACTCTCCTGAGATGGGGCCCCAGCAGCAGGAGATGCAGTGGAGTCTGGATTGCAAGTCAGGTGGATTTTGTTGGCTTTTTTGTTTTGTTTTCATCTGTTTTAGAGAAACTGAAAGTTGACATTCTAAGCTTTTGCAAGGACTCGCTAGAAAGAGAAAACACAAAAATCTTCTACAACTCTTCATTGGAATTAAAAGGGGAAGTTGGAAAGAAGGGATTTGATTCTGTGTTTCCAGTATCTCTTGTAGGCAATTTTTAACCAGTATGGTAAAGGATGAGTGCAGGCTGTGGGAACTACTTTTAGTTTCTCTGTGGTTTTTGATTGAAGGAAAATCTGTCAAGAAAGAAACTTGCAGGGATCATCTTGCCTGCGAGAGTAGAGTTCTTTAGCTGTAAAGGAGGATTGGTGTGGAAGTAGTAGTTTGCAGAATTATTAAAAAGGTTGGTGGCTTTTAGCTCTATTGAGTTTCATGAGTGACCACTCATCATACTAAACAAAAAGGTGCAATTTATTCTTTGTGCCGCAGTCCAGCTGCAGTGGGGGCTCCAACTCTGGTCTTGGGTGCTTGAACAGCAAATAACAACATGAATTCAGGGTTGTGCCAGGCAGTAATGGCCTGGTTTATTTTCTGAAGAGAGTATTTAAGCAGTGCAGACAAGCAGGAAGGAGTATGTGTCAGTCCCCTGGTTTCCCTTGACCTCTGTACTAGGATTGGCTGTCACGTTGCTGTGGCTACAAGCCTAAGGGCGGAACATCGTGTTCTGGGGACTGGGTCTTCCCGGTCTGGCAGAGAGGGAACAGGGGAGTTCAGCAATTGTCCTCTTGGACTGTTGCAGTCTCTCTTAGGGCTGTTGCAAAAAAGCTACTGTGACTCCACTCCTTTCCAAGAGGCTTTGGGGGTCCTGAGGGTTTCCTACACTTTGAATTTGACTATAATAACAACCATGTGCTCATTTTGTTTGACCATACTATATTGGGCATCTTTGTCAAAGTATACAGTAACTCTACTATTGCCAGAATGTTTTTAGGCTTTACAAAGAGGTTTTGTTTGAGATGATCATATCAGAAAATTGTATCATTTCCTTTCTGACTTGAGGAAAAAGCCATTGTACTTGCTTATGAGGTTTGATTTTTTTTCTGTTTTGGCTTAATAGGTATTCCGTTAGAGTGGCTTTAGTACATCCTGTTACCATACAGGTACGCACATCCAAACCAGATGTCTTCATCAAGCTGCAGGTATTAGAAAGTGAAGAAGCTATGGTGAGCTCTATCGGAAAAGGGCAAGCTATAATCCCAGCATTTAGCTTCTTGGGGAGTGAAAAGGTGCTGAGCTCCCAGTGTAAGTGTGCCTTTTGCAATTGGGTGTTTGAATTTAGAAACAGACACTGATAGTTTTATGACATTTTAAAACCTTTTCTTTAAGTTAAAATGGAAAGTAACCATTTACCACTAAAACTGAATATTATTGAAAAGTCTTTTAAAAAAAAACCCAAAACCGTTGTATTTAATGGCACTAACACCATTGTAATTATGTGTCAACTCAGGCTCTGAATACCAGCAGATCTGTTGTACAGTAACTAGTTTGAAGACTTTTCACTTTGGAGAAAAATTCTCTTTTGTATACATGAGCTGTATTAATAAGTAGAATCTTTATTATTTTGAAATAATTTTTTACTTTTCTTTTATACTAATTCAATATTTTTTTATATCTCCCAGGCTTGTTCTTCATACTCAGCTTGCATGTCTATGCTGTGATTTCTTGTCCATTTATCTTTTTGCTTCAGATTCGTTAAAACCATTGACCAGTGTGCTGATACATTTTGTTAGTTTTGTTTTCTTTGCTCTAATGCATTTCATGCTGGTTTAATAGTTTACTGCCTTGAAGGATACCTGAGCTCCAGGACTTGGCAAGCATCTATTTGCAACTATCCCAGTTATTTCTGACTACATTTTTTCCCTTAAATTCCTAGTTACCAAAACATTATTATCTAAATCTATTTAACATCACAGAGGTAAATGCTGCTTATAGTTTATCATATAGTTTTACATTATTTTACTTAAAAACTTACCATTTTTAAGAGAAGTGCACAAAATGTTTCATGCCATATTTTATGAGTTTACTTCCAGCAAAGAGGCAGGAAAGTGGAACAGAGGGATAATTGCAATAGAGTTCAGAAACTGATTGAAAAAAAAAATCACCCTTGCTGGCTCTTTTACAAGATGATGCTATTTTAGTATTTGCATTTCTAGATGAACTTCACAGTAAGTTTCTCAAGTGTGTCTCAAAGCCCACAAAGTCTGTCATTGTTTTCCTTCTGACTGCCTTGGATATTTAGATAAATTAAGGAGAACCAACTTCTTTCCAATACAGAACTTTGTTTGCAAGTAAATGTTATTTCTTTCCATTATCTATTACTTTTATGTTTTACAGAAAAAAATTAAAAGTTTTCTTCACATAGATCAATACAGATATAATTGTAACTAACAATTACAATTGTTATTTTCTTTCTTTGGATCTTAAATAGGAAATATACAAACAGATGCTATGAACTTTTGTTCATGAATTACATAAAAAAGACAGTGAAATTATTCTTTTCCCAAACACTTACCAGCTCCTTCTCTTGGAAACACATCTACTTACAAATCCTCTACAATATGCATTTCTGGAATGCACCCACCCACCAGAACTGTGTGTATACAGGATATGAGACTACCTTAGTGTTTATTGTGTAGTTTATTGTGTATGCAGACATTCCTACTAGAAATAAACTTACAGAGAAATAAACTTCATTTCAAAGATGTGTAAGCCAGCAGCAAAATCTTCAGATTTTGTGTTATTTCATAGTAATGTCATAATAATATTCATGCTGTACAGTTAATATAAAATTTGTGACTTTCCACAAAACTTATAATCTAAGCAATCATTTGAGAAATCCTTGTAGAAAACAGATAGTAAAATATTTTATTTTGTAAAATATGGCCTTTTATAACTATACACAAACCAACAGTGGTTTGTGTTTCTTCCAATCTTTTGCTCTTCTAAAAATACCAAATTTTAAAAATAACTTGTTCATATGATTTTCTGAACGTACATATGGGTAGAAATTGTATAAATGCCAGAAGCAGAACTACTGAGTCAGTAAGTACATGCACTTCGATTTCATTACACATTGTTAAGTTGCCTTCCATTGAGTTTATACAGATTTACCTTCCTTTATCCATTCATTGCTAATTGAAAAAAAAGTTTTTAATTTTTGACTTTTTCAATAAAAGTAAAAGTATTTACTTATGTTCACTTATAATGAGACTTGAGCATATTTTTGTGTCTCATACTTCTTCCTTTTATTTCTTTCTTAAACTTTTTATGTGCTTTGTACCTTTTTCTATTGGACTTAGCTAGTTTTTTCAAATTGATTTATAGATTCTCATATAATAAGGAAATGTGTCCTTTTTCATATGGTTTTCAAATATTTTTTGAAAAAGAAAGGATTTTGAGTTGCTGAGTGATAGATGGGAGAAGGGACCAATTTCTCAAGGATTGGGACTTTGTGCAATACACTTTAAATATTTTATTGAAGTATTATTTGCATATTCTGTACAAAAAGCATAGATTAGTGAGTTTTGATAAGTGCATGAGCACTAGTGTGACCCACACATGTAAGATATGGAATATCTTTATTCTCTCATGGTTCTGGAAGACAGAAGTCTGAAATCAAGGTCATATTACCCTTGAAAACTCTACGAGAGAGTCTGTCCTGAGTTCTTCTAGCTCTTGGTGGCTCTTGGCAGTCCATGCCTTCTAATAGTATAACTCTGCCAAAATCTCCACAAAACCCTCTTCTTTCTGTGTGATTCTGTGTCTTTTTTTCCCCACCTCTTCCAAGGACATTGTCATTGTATCTAAATACAGGTTGATGTCATTGTAGAATCTTTAACTATAGCTACAACTGCACTTATGTTAAATAAGATTACATCCTGAGGTACTACATAGGAATATCCTTCCAAGTATTAATACTCTATTTATCAGTGTCATATTGTGGGTCACTTGACCTCTGTTCAATGTTTTTCACTCTGTGCTTCTGGTTAGACAATTTGTATTGCTTCTCAGGTTTGCTTATCTGTTGTTCTGACTTTGACAGGAATTTTTCATTTCAGGCATAATTAGATCTAGATTTCATTGTGATTCATTATATGTTTCATTTTTTAATTTATATTCACCAATTTAGTTCAAAATGCCACTTAAATTACTTACGTATGTTTTTAATACGTATTTTAAAATGCATATTTACCGAGTTCAACATCTGTGCCAGGTATATATGTATTTCTTTTGACTGTTTTTCTCAAGTTATGGTCACATTTCCTGCTTGTTCATATATCAAATCAATTTGTGCTAAACAGTGTGCATTGCTAAGAGCCTATATCATGCTCTGTTCATTGAAGGAATATTGAATTTTGTCCCGGTACTCAATTAATTTATTAACAGCTTAGCTTGATCATACTGATGATTGTGACCTGTTTTTTTCACTTTTTTGCGGTGGGGGGTGCGTTATACTCAGGTACTGAGGTTTTGAGTTCAGTATCTCACACTTTCTGGGTGAGGACTTTATCACTTAGGCCAAACCCCCAATTCTTTTTGCTTGTTATTTTTCTAACAGGGTCTTATGTTATTGCCTGAGGCTGGCCTGGACTGTGATACTATTTATAACTCCTACATAGCTGGGATGACAGGTGTGAGCACCACTCCCAGATTATTGATTGAGATGGAGTTTCGCTAATGTTTTGCCTTGGCTGGCCTCAAACCTGGATCCTCCCAATCTCTGCCTCATGAGTAGCTGGGATTATAGACTCGAGCCACCACATTTGACAGTTGTGAGATTTCTCAAGTCAAGTCTAGAGTCATCATTATTCCAGGATCAGAGTAGCTCTAGTCTTAAAACTTGGACCCTCTTGAGGCCTAACTGAATTTTCTGTGTGTTTCTTAAATTCTCTTCATTTTGGCAGATCAGAACTTTAACAACTGTCAATATCGCACATCTATCAGAACTTCCACTAAGCTCACAATTTTCCAGTAGCTATTATCTGCCAGACATTGTTGAGTGTTTGTATGAATTAAATTTGGATTTTACTCCAGGGAACCCTTTATATGTTTCTGAACTCCTTTGTTGTTCAAATACTCCTCTCTGCCACCCTACATTACAAACAGCAGGGTCAAGGGTCCCAAACTCCCACCTTTGTTTCTGACCTGACAGCATTACTATGCTCTGTCCTGGCTGCTCTTCCCAGTGCTGCAGGTGGGAAAGTGCTCTCGGGCAGAGATTGGAAACAAGTGGACGTCATGTTGTACATTTTCCCACTCTCAAAGATCATTATCCTACACTGTATATTGTCCAGTGCCCATTATTCTTTCTTGACTGGAATTGGAATTTCCTTGTATCATTCACTAAAGTTACTCAATATACGTTTGATAGATTAATAACATTCAACACATTTCTATTTTTATTCCCCCAATTGTACTTACAATATGTTAACTACAAAATAATAAACAGGGAAATTAAAAATTAAAATGAAAGTATTTTCTTAAGTGTGATAACATACATGATATTAAACATTAAAGAATTCAGTTGCATGATATGTAGGCCATTCAAGTGGAACAAAGTGAATGAGAAATTGTCGATATTCTTTTAGCACTCAGTGTTTTTTCAGAATATGCACTGTGCTATACAGGTCATGTACTATTAGGGTTTATTTATTTGAGACCAGCATATCCCAAAAAATCCAGTGAAGTTGGTTTTATCTCATTAAAATATACCTTTTCTTTTAGTTGTATTATAAAGGATCAATCTAGTCAGTGATAGCAATGCATATCACACTTTAACTTAATATTTCTCTTTTACAGCTAGCAAACAAATTCTTTCATTTCATATGCCAACCAGAAGAGACCCCGAACTGTCTCCTAAGAAGAAAGCTACCCTGGGAAGTCAGAAATCCAATAAGGGTAGACCTGGAAGTGCGATAGCAGACACAGCTCTGAGTCTGTTGGAGGAGGATGTTATCAATATCCCCACTATAGAAGAAAATTCTAGCACACCACAACAGGTACATTAACATCAAAAAGAATTGCTCAATTAGACTTCTTCAACATGTACTACTTCATATATGCCGTGCCACCAGTGTATAACCAGACTTGAATAATAAAACATTAAACAGTTTCTTTATATGAAGATCTTTAATTTGTACACTAACCCTTATAATGTAGAGGTGATCATCTTATTTTAAAAACAAGTCATAATGTATACATTGAAGGTCATATGTTTTAATAAAAGTCACATTAATAAAAAAACTGATTTTCATGTGTCATAAATTTAAGAGGAAATGAACAATGCATCTATTTTAAACAGCAGAATCAAATATGACAACCTATTGAAAACAAAAACAAAGTAGCAGAAGGAACTGAAAAGAAAATAAAGTGCCATAAATAAGTTTATAATATGACAATAGTTATAATAAACACATTAATAAGTTAAAAGGCTAAAATTTTTAAATTACATAAAAAATAATATCCAATATAAGTTGTCCAAAGTGACATTTAAAATGTCACATAAAGTTTAAAGATTAAAAAGGTAAGAAAACATAACTGGCAAACATGAACAAAGACAGAACGGTGATAATAAGTTTAATTTCATAATACATAGAAATTATAAGGGACAGCCTATGAAAATAAAAGAATGAATCTAGTACACATGATCTTACCTAGCCACCCCGATTCAATGAATAAAAATAAAATTACTAGAACTTCAGAGAAAAGAGAGCTAAGTCAACAATTCATAATTGAAATTTTTAATGAATATAGGTATATTCATCAGTTTCTGAGACAGAAGTAAGAATGATGGTGAAGATTAGAAATTTAAAATTTTATCATTTAGATATCTATGCAGAAAACTTCCCATAATTAGCCAAGAATATACTTTTTCTTAGCATGGCTAGGATATTTTTAAATACATACCATATGATAAGTGATAAATGGAATCCTGAATAAAATCCAAACTATCTAGATGGTATAGATATGTTACATGAACACAACACACTAAAATAAGAAGTTAACAACAGTTTAAAAGCCCATAAATTTGAAAAATAGATGAAATATATTAAATACTCTTACTTAAAAAGAATACCAAACAAGAAAACATGCAATATTTAAAACTCAATAATGAATTTTAAAAACTCAATAAATCAAACTTTGTAAGCAACTCTAAAAAATTACTGAGTTATTTATGGATTATATGCCCAAGAGAAGCCAACAGAATAGACAAGCTTTAAAACCAGTAAGAGATTTTTAACAAGATCACCAGAGACATTAATAACAATAAGTTCTTAAGTACTTACTTACCACCCAATTGTGCACTCAGTAGTGTGTGAGTATGTAGATCTTTAGTGCTCCTGTAACTCTTGAAGGAAGTACTCTCGTGATCTCTGTAACAGTTGAAGAACCTGGAGCACAGGTTAAATGACTTGTTCAGAGCCAAACATTTGGTGTGTTGTAAAGCTGCATCTGAACCCAGACAAGTCCAGCCAGTGAGGTTATGCCGTTGGCCACCCCACTCTGCCCAAATCCGTAGCTGTCCTCAACAGCACCACTAATGCATTAGCATACAGAATGTGTTGCCTTTCATAATAGTAACAAAATTATAAAATACTTAGAAATTAACCTAAACAAAAATACACAAGCTTTCTACACAGAAAAGCCTATCACTTTAGTAAAGGGTGTGGTAAGTGATCCAGCCAACTGAAGAACATAAATGGCGTCTCTGCGTGGAGAAGTACTCCATGCTGTTCAGTGAGGTGACACAATGGATGAAGACATCATCTATTTTCCAGTTAGTCTTTAAATTCAAAGCAGCTCCAATCAAAATTCTCATTGTGCTTTTCAGAGATTTTCTAAACTTGTTCTAAAATTTATAGGGAGAAATCACAATTCACAAATAGTGAGGTCAACTATGGAAAAGCAAAGCAAAGATAGGACACTTCCTTTTTTAAATATTAAGCTACACAGAACAGTCATTGCAGTAAAAATATAATAATTAGTGTGAGACTACATAAACAGGAGCAATGGAAGAGAAGAGAATAGAAATGATTCCGTGTTTATGTGAAAATTTAGTATAGAAAAGAGACAACCCCATAAATCAATGGAGAATAGGTGACCTGTCAAGTAGAAGTGCAAGGAAAATTACCTGTCTATGAAGAGAAATGAAACTGGACCACTAGCACACACCATTAATAAAGGTGGATTCCAGATATATTGCAGATTCAATTGTAAAATTTTAATGCTAAAAGTAATAAAAGATTATGTAAGAGACCATTTTTGTGCCATGAACACAAAGAAGAGAAAACCCTAAAGGCCAATGGCTTTGAAAAAATACTGTCTTTAATAATGTGAAAAATGCAAAATATGACAACAGTGAGATTTCACCTTATACACATTGCACTGGCAAAAATTAGAAACTTAAATAGAGCAGGCATTGTTTGGTATGTAAGAATATTAAAGTTTTATTAGCTGTTCTGTGACAGAGTTTTTGAGAATATCTGGCATATTTAATTAAATTATGATCATATGATCTAGAAAATTATACACTTATCTGCCTTGCACAGATAAGTTATATTAGATGCATACTGTCTATATTCTTTTTAGTTTTTGTTAAGCTTTGCACTTTATTTCACAGTGCTACAAGTATATTATACAGTGTTTGGTGTTGAATAACAGTTGGCCTCTCACTGAAAATCAGCAGACATTTGTTCAAGCACTAAAAGACTTAGAGAAAAATGATATCAAAGGTAAGTCACCCTAAACATTTATGCATGTACTTTGCATTTCATATAAGTATTTAATAATAAATTGATCACATGATTTAACATTGTTGGTTATGATTTATATTCTATACACCATTTTATTTCTTTTTGTGTTGATTGATTACACACTTCAACATTTTTACTGCATTGTTTATGAAAAACAAAAATATACTATTCCTTATTGAAGCACAATTTACCTAGTTAGCAAAAATTACATATCAATTTGGACATTTCAAGAAATGTACAGAGAACTTTTCTGTTTATAAAATTATCTTTGCCCATAGTTGTTGAGAAAGTATGACACCAAATACAAGCTCTTCAAATATTTAACAAATCCTTCAGTCACATCCGAGGTATCTCCCAGTGAAGAAGGACTCTGGCTCATTTTTTCAAAATAGAAATTATTCTCAATTTTCCTGAGTAGGAAATCATCGCTTTATGCCTTTGACAAAGAGAACAAGAGGGAAATGTCAAACAGCCTCCGATCCTAAGCTTTATTGGCATCATGCATTCTGGTGATGAAATGTGAAGGCATGTTATTTTAAGTTTAAGGCAGATTGCTATGAAGCCTCCCCGAGTCCACCCAACTCTCCCTAACTCTGCCTTTGGATATCTGTAGCCTTGAATTTGAGACCTTTCAATATTTTGTAATCAACCACCCAGACCTACAAAGTTCTAATGGAAAATAAGCAAGAAAACCTGTTAATTGTATTAATTTGTTTATTTATTTATTTTGTTTTGCATATTACCATGTTCTTTTTATCTCAATATCCTTTTTGATCAGGCTGTCACTCTTGATGTCCTTTAAAATGCCTTTCCTTATGCTATCTCCACCTCTCCTGTGATCCAACTCAAAATCGCTTTGCCCATACTGTGCCTAAAAAAAAAAACTCTAGATTTCTTTTCTATATAGATCAACAGGAACCTGCTTGAAATAATGGATAGTACAAATCATGGTAGCTTTGTGTACCTCTCCCGCAAAGTAATAGATACATAGTATGTGCTTTGTACCAATGGAATCAAATATTTTATACTAAATATCTATGTAAATAAAATACTTACAATTATAGAAATAAATAAAAAATCAAATTGTTTGATTTGTCTCAATAAACCCAGTAATCATGCTATTGTTGTTTAGCAATCATAAATATAAACCACATGAAAGGAATAAATAATGCTAGCATAAATTGTGGAAAGAAAACTACAGGGCTGGAGATGTAGCTCAGTTCAGTGTTATAACACTCATGTGGGTTCAATCTCAACACCACACACACACACACACACACATGCATGTGTGCGAAGGGGGAAGAGGAGAAAAGGGAAAAGAAAAGAAAACCACTGGATGATCTGATTAAATTCAGTTGGAGAACTCACTCACAGAGAAAACTTGCTGCAAAATAATGTTACAATGATATTTATAAAAATGTGCAGTGGTAAAGGAAGAAATATTTATATAAAAATGTTAAGTTTTTCCAAGGCAAGATAGTCAGCACCATATAGTACAGAGTAGAGGATAATGTAAAAACACAGAGCTAGACATTGTTAAAAAGTTAATGATATGAATTAAGTTTTTAAAAGGAAGGCTATAATTAATTGGGGAAATTCAGCATAGTAGCTAAATTATACATCAGTCACATGACCTGGGGTTATTTATCACTTATGAAACTAGAATAATTCCTATTTTTCAAGACTGTCTTAAAGACTCAAAATAATATAAAGTTAGTAAACCTAGCAGCATTTCAAAAACTGGCATTATCATTATTACATATTCCAACTAGAAAATAAGGCCTCAGAAATAATAATATATTATTTTCTGACATCACACTTGACAATGTTATGAATGAATGAGCAGCTGTGAAAATTAAATTACATCTTGCATTAAATAATATACTTGTTGCTGAAAAGCAGCAAGAAACTAAGAATTGAATTGTATTTAAAACGATGTAGGAACATTTTCTATTTGAAAGAATGTGTCGAGCAATTCTTTTGAAAGTCAAGCAGCTTTGAATTCAAAATAGTAGATCTTTAATATCAGGTTTATAAATGTAGCTTTTAGGTTGTCAATTTGATTGAATTAAAACATCAATGCATCAACTGCTATACTTCAATTATATTTATATTTCAAAGACCATATGCTCTAATTTTAAGGGTATGATATATTTTAGAAGTACTTCAGTTGCTAATGTCTTCAAATTATCCACCTAGATTAATTTAAAAATATAAATACTTTAGATCAAGAAGAAATTGGTCGTGTTCTTATATCAATGATCTAACTTAAAATTTTATATTCATCCTGAAGTATATAAAAATGTTGCTCCATTTCCTCATTTAAACTGAGCATTTGATTTCCATGAGAAATGATTATTTTCAAAAATTCCCACCTTTATAACTCACAATGGAAAAATAAGCCCTGAATTACAGCTGTTTCCAAACAAGGATATTTCTGCTCTAATTTTTAAGAAACTGGGCCTCTAGCTAACATGAAGCAACAGTGCCACCTTTAGAATATTTTAATACCTTAATTTTAGTAAAAGATGCTCACTGAGTGGATTGACTTTCACTAAAGGAAATAGGAAGCCAGAGGGTTTGAGCAAGGAGTTCTTAGTCATATCATCTGCCTTCACACTTAATTAGTGATGCTCTGGTTTTAAATTTCTTTTGCCAATATATTACATCTTTATATTGCTGGCTGGTACTTCTGAAGTTCTAATCAATTTGCTAAAATACATATATATTTTATATATTGGAGAAATTACCCAAACATTGCATGCACATATGAATAAAAAAATATTTGATTTAAAGTCACATTGAATTTTATAAGCAGGATTATAACATTACATTCTTAACTCTAATTAATGTACTGTTTTTCTGAGCTTTTGTAAAAGAGTGTTGAACAATGATGTATCTTGCAGCATCCAATTCAAAGTCTTTGAAGAAACCAAACATTATTATATATATTATACATTTCCTGATATATTGTATACGTTAGTATATGTTATGTTATATATTACAGTATTTAATATATACATTATAAATTATCAATTATATACTACATAGTTACATATAACTACTTATACACTATATTATATAGCTATATGTAGTTATTATATAAACCATACATGTCAGTATATATAAATAAGAGATTTTTCTCTTTACATTTGCTAAATGTGATTGTACTTGATAAACTTGACCTTTGTCTTAAACAAATATTCTACTTTAGAAATTAAATGAATGTCCAAATCCCAACTGAATGTTCCTAAATATACAAATCAAGTACTTAATTTTAATCATAAAGGTAGAATTGCATTTTTGTAATTTTTATAAGTTTTATTATTTACTGAAGGTTTCCATCCCTTGTATTTTGGATACATGCAGGATAATGTAAGAGACCACAGGAAAAACCTGTTGAATTAATTTCATCAACAGATCCTCTCTGAGCACTTCCTCTCTGCAGAGGTTTATTCTAATGACTGTTTCCTGAAGAGGTCTTATAATTACATACTTGTAGATTTTTCATAATTTTGAGTCACTATGCTGTTTTTTTCTCACATCTTATTCCTACATATGTTGCCAATACATACAGATTTCTTGTAAGCTTTGCATACTAAAGTTAAAAAATCTGAAAGTGAATACATACAATGAGTTAAACAGTATATTGGATTTGAAATTGGGAATTTAAAATGAGGTATGAAGTGATATTCTGGCCTTTAGAGAACTTGTAATTCATGGGAGAAAAGGTCACTATAGGTTATAGTTAATAACCTTTAATGTTCCATGAAAGAACATGTTATATTAATAACATAATATTATGTTATGCATCTGCTGTGCACCTGACACTGCAGCAGGTGCTTTATGTGTGTACACTTGAAAATTATAATATGTTGCTTTTGGTGGGGTCAAATACCCTAAGTATAGGATTCAAACACTTAAGAACTATGGTCAGTAAGAAAAGAGAGCCCCAGAAATATTTCTGGAGGAGCTTGAGATTAAATTTCCGCTAACATTTACTAAACATCTTAGAAGCCCAGCATGTATGGTACTAAACAGAGTCCTATTTTAAAGGTTCTACATTGGTAATTTGTGGTTATGGTATTAGTATCTTCACTATACAGAGTGGAAACTTCAGCTCAAAGAACATGATTAAACTTGACAAGGTTAAGCTGTCTAGTGGCTGAGCCACTAAGTCATTTTATTATTTAACCAAAGATTTTCCCCGGCTCAACCCTTGTGAGCTGCTAGGACTGTTGCCAGAAAGACAAATTACACCATTATAACAATAGGGCACCCATAGTCTCTGGCCAGTCTTATAGGGTGATCTGCTTCCAGTTGGACAGTATCTAATATCTAGGTACAGATAATTGGAGAGATCTAGATTCTTTACAATTATGATTTTACTTTGTTAAAGCGGTGACTCATATGTGGACATTAGATCAAGGGTAAACACAACAAGGGGATTGGACTTTGAGCACATGATAAAAGCGAGAGCACACAAGGGAAGGGTGAGGATAGGTAAGACACCTAAAAAATTAGTTAGCATTTGTTGCCCTTAACGCAGAGAAACTAAAGCAGATACCTTAAAAGCAACTGAGGCCAATAGGAAAAGGGGACCAGGAACTAGAGAAAAAGTTAGATCAAAAAGAATTAACCTAGAAGGTAACACCCACGCACAGGAAATCAATGTGAGTCAATGCCCTGTATAGCTATCCTTATCTCAACAGCAAAAACCCTTGTTCCTTCCTATTATTGCTTATACTCTCTCTACAACAAAATTAGAAATAAGGGCAAAATAGTTTCTGCTGGGTATTGGCGGGGAGGGGGAGAGGGCGGACTGGGTGGTAAGGGAAGGGGTGGGGGCAGGGGGGAGAAATGAACCAAGCCTTGTATGCACATATGAATAATAAAAGAAAAAGGAAAAAAAAAAGAGGTGACTCATAATCCCTCAATTCTGAACTTTCATTTCAATTCAATGTTGAGTCATCTCTTAACAGTAAATTATGACACTGAGAAAACAGTACAACCTGTCTGAATCTGCCCAATGTACTGGGATACATTGAGAATCAAAAAAGGAAGAAACATAACCAGGATTCAACAAATACTATTTGCCTCCTTGCCATGAGGATAGATAGTGGGTAGAAAGAATTCATAGAAAATAAACTATCTTAGTCCATTTTGTACTTCTGAGACTTTAGATAAAGTTGCCTGCATAAGGTGAGGGCCTTCTTGCTGTGTCATAACATGTTAGAAAGCATCATGTGGGTGAGACAGGGAGTAAAGGGGGCCAAACACACACTTTTGCAAGGACCATACTCTCTGAATAAATGAACCCACTCCCACAGCAATGGCATCAATCCACTTTTGAAGGGAGATGACTTATGATCCAATCACTCTGACAAGTCCCACCTCTCAACACTGTTGCACTGGGGATAAATTTCTAATACATGAATGTTGGAAGATACAACATTGTCCTAAGGCCAATTCCCTTTATGTTGGAAGGAAGGTAATTATACTTTCCTACATGTAAGCCAATAATTCTCAAAGTGTGGTTGGACCAACAGCCTTAGCACCACCTGGGAACTTGTGAGAGATGCAAACATGGAGGCCACATTACCAGGCCCACCAAATCAAAAACCTTAGGATGGGTACCCATACGTTAATAAAACCTCAGAAATTTCAATACAGGCTAAGTTTGAGAACCACTCTGTGAAAGTACCTTTAGAGTCTCTGAATTCTTTTTTTTTTTTTTCAGTACTGAGGTTGGAACTCAGAACCTTGTGCTTGATAGGCAGGTGCTCCACCACTTGAACCATGTTCCCAATCCTTTTTTTGCTTTAGTTATTTTTCAGGTCAGGTTTTGTGATTTTGCCCCAAAAGGCATGGATTGCTGTCTTCCTACTTCCTGTGTAGCTGAGATGACAATTACATACCACCATGTGGATTTCACAACTATATGGAAATGAAACAATATACTGTAAACTAATATATGAGGATAAAAATCACAAGAGAAAGTAGCAAATACTCAGAGGAAAGTGAAAAAGAAACCAACAACAAAATTTATGGGATGCAAGAAAGGCATTGCTAAGAGGGAAATTTATAGTTACACAATTTACATGAGAAAAATTTGAAATTAGTAACTTCCTACATTAAAAAAACTAGAAAACTACAGAAAGAAAAATACAAACTAAACCCAAAACACACAGAAGGAAGACAATAATAAAGATCAGAGCAGAAGTCAATAGATTTAATACTGTACTGCAGGTACCAGCCAGACAACTATGCTGCAAATGGAATACAGTATGTGCCACCAAGAAAGGAAACACATTGGCTAGTGGTGATGGTGGCATAACCTTAAATACCAAAGCCCACTGATTTATACACTCTGGTGGGAAGTTTCAAGTGGAGGAAATATATCTCAATTTTATAAAAAGGGAGTCAAACAGACCTTTATGTAAGATGCTTGTTTATTATTTTGGGGTTTTTGTTTGTTTGTTTTTGTTATTGTTCAGACTGGGGTTTAAGCTCAGGGCTTCAGGCTTGCAAAGCAGGTTCTCTATCATTTGAGCCATGCTTTCAGTCCTATTATTTGTTTATTTTTTTTTAAATCTTAACTAATTAGATGAACAACTTTGTCCTCACCTGCTTCCATTAGCCCTACCTGGAGTGTTTTTATTGTCATGTCCTCACACCCTGTTTCTCATTTATATGTCTTTCTAGCTCATGTGGAGAAACATGAGGAACTAATTTACATGGGAAGCCCAGATTCCCATACTATTAGTGAGGGGCAAAAATCTGCAGGGACTTCTAAATCAACAAGGAAAGGCAAAGAAAAGTCTGCAGAGAGAGAAAGGACAGCTAAAGAAAAGCAAGGACCTCGCTTTGAGCCTCAGGTGGGTGCAATACCTCTTTCCTGTTGAAGTCACTTAAAGAACCATTTCTCTTGAGGATAAAGTTGTGAAAAATTCTATCTTCCTGATTCCAGCAATCATCTAGATACCTTGAGGGTATTTTTTGGACTGCTTCCCAAGGTCCCTTTCCCAGTTCAGGGTCAAAAAGAATGCAGAACACTGTTCTTGGAATATGATTCCTACCCTTAAAAGAACTGCATTGTAGTGAAGGAGACTGAAAATAAAAAGAGGGAGTTTGTTTGCTTATTTATTTGTGGTGCTCAAGATCAAATCCAGGGCCTTGTACCTGCTAGACAAGTTCTCTACCACTGAGCCACAACCCCAGCCCGGGTAAACAGAGTTTTTGTGTTGAGTGTTTTAAGTGCAGTGTCAAAAGAGAAGTACTATTCCAAGAGGAACTAAGCCCTAAACTGAATACAGAGGAAAGCCTTGCTGAGGAAAAAAATAAATCAGTCTGGTTAGAGACCTAGGACTCTATCTATAGCACAAAGGCCACATAGAACATTGCAGTGTGGAGGTTAAGGAAGAGAATGCAAGTGGCCAATAACAAAGAGTGGAACCAGGCCTAAAGAACTTCACATTCAAGTTACATAAAAAGACTGCACTTGCTGGGTGTCAGTGACTCACTCCTATAATCCTTGCTACTTGAGAGACTGATGCTTGGTGGTTTGAGGTTAGCCTGGCAAAAAGTTCTTGAAGCCCCATCTCAACCAATAGCTGAGTATGGTGGTATACACCTGTCATCCCAGGCAACAGTGTGAAGCATGAAATAGGAGGATCTCAGTCCAGGATGGCCTGGACAAAAGTGAGACCTTATCTCCAAAACAACCAGAGCAAAAATGGCTCAAGTGATAGAGTGTTGGCCTAGTAATCTCAAAGCCCTGAGTTCAAACCCTGGTACCACTAAAACCAAAACCAGAACAAAAAAGGCTGCACTCAAAATAACTGTGAGGATGACAAGATTTTTTCACCACTTGTGATCATTGCCTCTGTTAAGCACAATTGGAAGTCAGTGGATTTAAGAAGGGTATTGACATGATCAGATTTATATTTCAGGTACTTTTGTGGGTTTTTAAAAGCATAAAAGAAATGCTACAGTAGTCTAAGGAAAGGAGCACAAGGTCTTTCCAAGAACAGGTCAAAAACCAAAAAAGGAAGGGGATGACTGAGTTGTAGCTATTAACCCAAAGTGAGAGTTAAGGAAAAAGAAAGAAGAAAGTAGTTCCCTCAGTGAAAGTATTTCCAAGTGAATTACTAAGTCACATGTCACTAGCATTACTAAAATGGACAAGGAGTATTAGCAAATACAGAGGATGGCTTGGGTAGCACAGACTCCAGGAATGGAAAACCCTGTTCACTTGCATGTGAAAGGTTTCATTTATCTGGCCTTTGAAGCATTTCTTGCCTTTGAAGCATCATGAGATAAGTAAGCTTAGCCTTATCCAGAGACTGATGCAAGACATGTGGCTCTCCGTTAGCCCCTTGGTAGTGCTCTGTTCCCTGGATCAAGACTTGATCCTAGAAAAGCTTCCAATAAATTCATTTATCAAGTCATTTAAAAGATGATAAATGCTAATAGACTGTGGGTGAAAAGTAAGAAAGAAAAGAATTTCCTTCTGTTGAGATTCAATTCTCATCTGCACATTAGGGGAATACCAATGTGGTTTTGGTAACCCTGAAACAAAATTGCACATGAAAACCTTATTCAGTGGCTGCAACCATTCCCCAAGTGCATTGTTTAATATGGATAATTGACAAGGGTGTCACCATTTGTAAATTGCTATGAACCACACCAGTTTTATTATTTGAGTTATCTGGTGATTCCCTGGAAGATCCCATTACAAATTCTCAAAACCAGTTCATTATGAAAAACCTCTTTCCGGGATGGGAGATAATTTGATTAAGATCATCCAGTCTGAGGATAAAGAATGAAGGAAAAGGAAACAATCCTCAGAGACTTTGTGTGACAAATATTGCGTCATATATATTAAAATACATAATGGAAACTTGAAAAGGCAGGAAGAGAAAGTGGTAGAAAGAACCCAATTGCTACCAATGAACCTCTTTCCCAAGTAGAAATTCTCAAACCATATATCTTCTTCTAGCCTATGGTTCTTGCAAGTGATCCCATGACATCAAAATGTCCACTTCTGACCTAAGTATAATTTAGATCTTATTGTGTACAATTTCAAGTAAAGTTTGCATAGAGTGATATAAACAAATCTTAACAATACAATTCCATGATTTCTTACAAATGCATTTGCCAATCCATGTCCTTGCACTGAGGTACAGATTATATATCATGTCCATAAACTCTTTGCAGTCAATTGTGTCATCCCTTCTGCTCACCTCCATAGCCACTGGTCTACTTTCAATCATCATAGATTCATTTTGCCTGTCCTGGAATTCCATACAAAAGAATCATACAAGATACAGTCTTCTGAGCTCAGCTTGTTCATCTCAGTGAAACATCTGACTTCGAGGGTCTTTCACACAGTGTTGTGTATCAGTAGCTTATCATTTGTTTAATGTCAGGTAGCACTCAATCATATGAATATATGGTAATTTGCTCATGCATTCATCAGTTGATAGACATTCATGTTCTTTCTTTTTTGTTGTTATGAATAAGACTTGCGATGAACATAGTTGTCAAGTCTTCTGTGAATTATGTTTTCATTTCTCTTGGGTAGATACCTAATAGTGAGATTATGGATCAAAAGATGAGACCTAGACCATTTGGAAAGGAGAAAAGCATTTGTCCTAAAAGCTTTTTTATTTTAGCAGATACCCACTGTTCACTCTCAACAAGAAGATCCGAACAAACCCTACTGGATTTTGAGGTTGGTCTCTGAACCCAGTGAATCAGAATACTTTGAAGTGAAAAAAGATACAGAGCGAGCAGATGAGATCCGAGCCATGAAACAAGCCTGGGAGACCACGGAGCCAGGAAGAGCGATCAAGGTCACTCAGCTGGAGATCAGTCATTTTTTATATGCTCAGAAGAAAAAGCCATGCTGGTGAAATTATCGCTTTTCCTTTAGGAGTGGTAGCTGGGATTTTATCAGACATCGATTACCTATATTTTAAGATCACATTTAAACATATTATAAAATATTACCCTACTGATTCATAGAGGTTTCACAAAAGCAAAGCACATAATAGCATAATAGTGCTACTAAGAGGTCCAAACTATGAATTTTCTCTTTCTTTCACATAACCAGGACTGCATCCACATCTGGCCTTAAAACTCTGAAGTTAGAAAGTTTAAAAATGTTTAATGTGCTTGTCTGTACATTGAACAACTTTCCACAGAGAAAAAGTATGTGCTGCCCCCTTGTGAATATAAACACCTTGCCTCTCCTTTCCCCTGTATTTGTTGAAAGAATCTTTGCCCTAGTGAAACTTATTTAAGTGTTTCATGTCCCCATTTGGGGTAACTGGTGCTCATAGATGAAAAAAGATTCAGATGCAACTGGAAGTAAGATAGCATGCCCAGTATATTAGTTTTAGAACTTCTTCATTTAAAAAAAAATAGTCAAATCATGGATGGTTTACAATTGGAGTCTACTTGTTGACTAAGTTCAAACTGCGCTATTCAGTTCGTTTTCCTGATTCACTTGAGTGCATGTTGTTGCCTGTACTGGTTGTGGGTTTCAGAGTGCTCACAAGACTGACAATGTTTGTCCTCCAGGCTTCTCAGGCTCGTTTGCATTACCTCAGCCAGTACATTAAGAAACCAAGTGATACCCCCGAGAGTGTATCTGCTACTGAAAGTCAAGCAAAATCTGTGGAAGAAGGTCAGTGACTCCCACCCCAGCTGCCTCCCAGCACACAGTTTTTATTTGTAGCTCTTAGAAAATAGTCAGTGGATATACTGGTAAAACAGAATCTCTAGTCTCCAGGATTGTGAACAGTCATGCAGATTCACATGCTTTGCTTATCAAATCACTTTCACTCATTTCTCATTTAATTCCCACCTTCCCATCCAGCCCATATAGATGTGACTTTCCCTGCTTAAGGAATTATGAAACCAGTTATAAGGATGCATCCTAGTTCAAAGGTGGCAGGCAGAACTTGAAGGCAGGCCTACTACTACAAATCTAAATAAAAGAGAACTAACTTTTGTTGCATGATTGTCCTGAATCTGGCCTGTGCATAATTTTAGCCAGTCCTGGTGTCCCTGGTTCCAGGACCCTCAATGGATACCGAAATTGAAAGATGTTTAAGTCCCTTATAGAAAACAGTGGTTAGTTTACATATAAACTATTGCAAGGGTGTATTCTTCCTGCACCCTTTAAATCATCTCCAGATCCCTTATGATATCTAATGCAATATAAATTTTATTTAAGTAGTTGTTATACCATATTGTTTAGTGAATAGACAATAAGAGAAAAAGTCTGAACATGTTCCGTGTACAGTCATAGGACTAACTATACATTGATTGTACAAAAATGTAACAGTTTAAAAAAAGTTTTTGCTCCCTGATTGGTTGGTTGAATCTGATGATTCAACCTGCAGAATCAGAGGGCGAACTGATTCATTTTATCCTTCTGTCAACCCACCAAGGCATATTATATAACTTTCAAGGCCCAGAGAACTTCAGTAATATTTCTTTTTCATGTTGTTAGTTTTACAAAATAACATTTTCTTCATGTATACAATGTACTTCAATTGTGTTTATCTGTATCAACCTCTTGACCTCTTCCTTCTTCCCACTGGGCTCCCCAAATAGTCCCTCTTGTATGTCCATGTCTTTCTGTTTATTTTTATGTCAGATTCATATTTATGACTGTGAGAGAAAGCATGATATTGCCTTTCTGAGTCTGCTTATTTTGGTTAACATACTTATCTCCATTTCCATCCATTTATTGGCAGATGACAAAATTTTTATGGCTGAATAATGCTCCATTGTGTATACATGCCATGATTTCCTTACGCATTCATCCATTGTTGGGTGCCTAGGCTAATTCCCTAACTTGCCTATTGTGAATAGTACTTCACTGAACACGTATGTGCAGGTGTCTCTCTATTGTATGCAGACATACGTTCCTTTGGGTAAATGCCTGAGAGTTGTACAGCAAGATATGGAATAGTTCTATTTTTAGATTTTTGAGGGACCTCCATACTGATTTCCATTGTGGTTGAACTAATTATATTCCCACCAATAGTGTATAAATGCTCCTGTTCCTACATCCTTGTCAGCATTCGTTATCATCCTTGATGATAGCCATTCTGATTGGGGTGAAATGGACTCTCAATGCAGTTTTGATTTGCATATCCTTGATGACTAAAGATGTTTAACATAGTGCTTGAAGTGTTAGCCAGAGCAATAGGGCAAGAAAAAGAAATAAAGGGCATACAAATAGAAAGGAAAGAGTCATATGCTATTCCTATTTGCAGATGATATGATCTTGTACTTAAAAATACCTAAAGACTCCACCAGAAAACTCTTAGATTTGATACTTTTAGTAAAATACAAAAATCAACATATAAAAATCAGTATAGCTTTTCTATATATCAGGAATGAATATACTGAGAAAGAAAACAGGAAAACAATCTCATTCACAATAACCTCAAAAAAATACCTAGGAGTAAACCTAACAAAGGAGGTAAAAGACTCCTACAATGAAAACTATAGAACAATGAAGAAAGAAATGGAAGAAGACACTGGAAGACAGAAAGGCATCTCAAGTTAAGTTAATGGAATTAATATTGTATCCAAACTGATCTAAAAATGCAATGTGATCCCCATCAAAAGTTCAATGACATTCTTTATAGAAATAGGAATTCATGGAAGAACAAAAGACCCCCAAATAGCCAAAGCAAACCTGAGCAAAGAGAGCAATGTTGGAGGTATCACAATACCTTACTTCAAATTATACTACATAGCCATAGTAGCAAACAGTGCGGTTCCTGCACAAAACCAGACAGAGACTGATGGAATAGAGTAGAGGACTCAGAAATAAACTCATAGCCCTCTGATTCTTTAAGGTGTCAAAAATATATGTAGGAAAAAGACAACCTTTTCAACAAATGCTGTAGGGAAAACTGGATATCTGCATGTTGAAGACTGAAACTTGATCCCTATCTTTCATCCTGTATGAAAATCAATTCAAAATGGATCAAAGACCTTCATGTAAGATCTGAATCTTTGAAACTACTAAAGGAACACATAGGGTAAACACTTCCAGATATATGCATAGACAACTATTTTCTGAATAAGACTCCAGTTGCTCAGGAAATAGCAAGAGAATGACAAATGAGAATGCATCAAATTAAAAAGCTTCTGCACAGCAAAGGAGACAATTAACAGAGTGCAGAGACAGCCTAAAGAATGTGAGATCTTTTCCATGTATTCATTGGATAAAGAACATATAAAGAGCTCTGAAAATTATGTACCAAAACAATCCAGTTAATAAACTGGCAAATTAGTTGGACAGTTCCCAAAAGAAATGCAAATGGCCAATAAATATGAAAAAAATGTTTAGTTTATTTAGCCATGCAGTAATATTTCTTTTTTTCCTCATTTTTAAAATTTATTTTATTTATTTTATTTTTATTTATTTTTTTATTATTCATATGTGCATACAATACTTGGGTCATTTCTCCCCCCTGTCCCCACCCCCTCCCTTACCACCAACTCCGCCCCCTCTAGACCACAAATTCTAAAGTTGGTACAGGAAAGAGTAGGAAATACTCTGGAGTTAGTAGGTATAGGTAAGAACTTTCTCAATGGAACCCCAGCAGCACTGCAACTAAGAGATAGCATAGATAAATGGGACTTCATAAAACTAAAAAGCTTCTGCTCATCAAAAGAAATGGTCTCCAAACTGAAGAGAACACCCACAGAGTGGGAGAAAATATTTGCCAGCTATACATCAGACAAAGGACCGATAACCAGAATATATTGGGAACTTAAAAAATTAAATTCTCCCAAAACTAATGAACCAATAAAGAATTGGGCAAGTGAACTAAACAGAACTTTCTCAAAAGAAGAAATTCAAATGGCCAAAAAACACATGAAAAAATGTTCACCATCTCTAGCAATAAAGGAAATGCAAATTAAAACCACACTAAGATTCCACCTCACCCCGTTAGAATAGCTATCATCAGCAACACCACCAACAAGAGGTGTTGGTGAGGATGCTGGGAAAAAGTAATATTTCTAAGTTTACAAGACACCAGAGACCAAGACAGCATGCAGACTGAGCCTTCCAAGACTCTAGTGTCTTCTCACAGCCACTGGCTAACTCTGTCTTTTATCACTCTGGGATTCCATGGAGACAAAAAGGACTAACAACCCAAATCATGCTCTCTCATGTTTGCATCTTGAGGAATGTAATTCAATAACTATTATAAAAATGATTCCCCTGAATTTTCATATGAATATTATAAGCAGAAATCATCACCCTTTTCTTGATATCCTGGCATAGGCATTGGGCAAAGTGATTTTTATGATGTCACTTACACTTACCACAACTATGAAGCAGCTATTACTATTCCCATTGTACAGACAGAAACCACAGCTCAGAAAGTCACCTTACTCTTCCTAAGTCATATATATAGAAAGTGACAAAGTTGGGATTTGGAGTGCTGCTATATTCCTCTGATTGTTAGAGTCCAATATAATGCCAAGAAGACCAAGGCGAATAGGATTCAGTTCTTACCTTTTAAGATGTAGATCTTGTTATTATTGTAAATACTTTCTATTAAGGAATGTTAAAAAAGTATTACATGGAGCATTCATTAAAAGCAAGGAGGACCTTATTTAAGACTGCTGAAATGGGGGAGGTAGAATGCAACTCAGAATACAACAGAAGCAAATAGGGATTTTGCCCAAAGGCAGGTGAAGGAGTAGGTGGGAAATTCTTGAGAAGAATTTAGTTGGGTAGCAAGGAGTAGGAGAAAGGAATGTGATTGGTTGTCAAGTGTGAGAGAAGAGGCATTAGATTGGATACGGGGGAGGGGAGAGGCTCTAGATTAGTAGAACTCTTTGCTAAAACTGGGATCAGCAGGCCATCAAGAGTTACTAGCTGAGAACAGGCCTCAGAGAAGACTAACTTTGTATACACACACATGCAACCAAGGCACAGATTTTATTTTTACAATTTGATTGATTTCTGTATATGTATATATGCAGAAACCACCATTCAGATTAAGACACAAAACACTTATTGCAAAAGCCCTGCTCATCCCCCTTCCCAGCCATTTCCTCCCTCAAGATAACTGCTAATCTTATGCTCGTAAACTTCATCTATTTAAACCTATGCACTATGTCCTCTGTGTGCCTTAATGTTTAACATTTCTAGTTTTTCCTAGGTCAGATGTAATAAAAATAAGAAACTTATAAAATTATTGGGATAAATTATGTTTTCCCCCTCTTTTATCTTGGTCAGTCTTGCTTGGGGTGCATCAGTTTTAATAATATCTTTAAAGAACCAGATTTTGACTAACAGATGTCTCTTTCTGTTTCAACATTTCTCCATTCCTTTCATTCAAAGCAGAATATAGAGCAAATTAGAACATCTCTTCCTAATAAATAAAAAGTTAATGTCTGTCTGCTTAATGAGGAAATTGTGGCAGCTTTATAGGGTCTTTTACGGTGTAGGGATCTGAAAGAGTGCAAGTAAGAATTATTGTTAAGAAAAAAACTTTTTAGCTTTAAGTTTTCACAAGCAAGAGCATTTTTACAACATACACACACACACACACACACAATAGCTTAGGAATTGTATTTCCAAAGAAAAGTATTTTTCTTTAAAAACAAAAGAAAAGTCGTATTTCCTTCCTGTTTCATTTGGTCAAATCAAAAGTGAGCTTTATTTTTCTTCCCTTTTTTTCTTTCATTTGAGGGTTTTAACTCAGAGCCAATCCTCAGCCTCAACAGTGATTTCTAGCTAAACCAAAAAGAACTAAGTAAATCGAAGCTATTTTCCTCTGGAGGTTAATTTTGGGTAAAATAGTTGAAGATAGATTACAATGATACATTGTGCTAAAAGTCTAGATGATAATTTAAGAGTGTTTTAAGTAAGGGGTTCTGACACACTCATAAACATATCACCCCTAAGCCTCCCAGGCAGGACTGGTAACCTACCTGTATCACACTATTGGAGGTGCTTTCTTATAAAAACAGGCTCTTCTCGTGTGGTGAACCAAAGCTCCCTTTTGAAAAGAAAGCTTTTCTTCTATTACAAACAACCTAGTCATGCCAATAAATCTTTCCAGTTCTGCAGATCTGAAGCAATCAACACACCATTAATGCAGAAACATTAGTCTACTCAAAACTTTTGCAGTCCAGCAAGTGCAAGACCTTAAGTTCAACTCCAGTACTACCAATAAAATGAAATGAAAACAAAAACACATTTGTAATATTCTGCAGTGACAAATATTTCCCACACCTATATAGGGTTGACCATAGTTTTCAATAAAGCCAAAAAGAATACATTAGTCAATTTCCATTGTGTTTTTTCAGCTAATAGATCATGATTTCAATTTTATAAAACCATACCATACAAAATGAGGAAATAAAAAGCAACAGTCTCACCAACCCATGTCAACTGGACACTGTCTTGGGTCTTTTGTACCAGCTTTTTTCTTCCCAGAGAGTAAGTGCATACGCTTCATATCAAACATGGGTCAATTTGCCTCCTTTTCTTCCCCAAGTGGTTCCTCTTCTTCAAAGTGCTCATCAGTCTTGGCTTTGTTCACCTTCTTGACATCCTGAAGACCAGAAACATTATGCAGCATTCAAGATCAACTGTCCTGTAGAAGAGAATGAAACAGATTCTTTCTGCTTTCTTTTCCTGGTGACATTCCAAGATCCATGTCAACACCAAGATTACACATCTCGTCATCCTCCAAATGTGTCTGCTGAACCTTCTTAGCAGTGTCAGGCATCCTGGGTTCCTGTGTATTCTTTTCTTTGGACAGCAGAATTTTCAACTTCTTTTTTCCATAATTTGTTTTGCCAGCTGTCGGATCCCCACCATTTCCTCCTCTACACTTTCATATTCGCTGTCATGACTGCCAGTGGCTGTCCTTAGCTCTTCTTCTTTTTCTAACTCTTCCAGGTTCTTGTTTCTTGGGCTCCTGGATTATAAGTATCTACATCGGCGGGTTGTAGATACTCCATGGATTTTTGGATCATCCTTTGGAGGATCAGAACATCACCAAAATTCAGGCTGTCACAGCTCTGGCCCATCTTCCTGTCTTCATTCTGTACATGATGGATTTGTCTGACAAATATGGATGTGGTTTGAAGGAGAAGTTAGGACTTTTTGAGAACATCAGACCTTTCCTTATCAATAACCCTCTTATAGCATATAAATAACCCTCTTATAGCATACAAATGTGATGTGAAGAAAAGAGCTGAACTTTCTGAAAGTGATCAGATAATACTTGCAGATTTGCAGGCTGAAGGATTCCCTGGAATAGAGACCAACACCATTACAAAGCAAGCTGCTATTCAATTTAGACAGAGGTTTGTAACAGGCTTTTGGCTGAATGAGTGGAAACCAAAATGAAAGGAAATGATTTAAATGAGGTGCTGAGTAGATTGCATTTAACTGCATCAAACAAGAGAGGCAGATGATCAGGAGAGGCCCACTTTCATGCCAGAAGAAGCAGGGGCATGCAGTAAGAGAATGGAAACTAGAGACCCAGGAAGAAAAGGGAATGAAATATTGAGTAGAAAATAACTTGGATCTTTAAAAAAGTGGGGGAGAGGGGGGAGGGGATTTAATGGATTTGTCTGAGAAATATGACCAGGTACCAAATATCTGAAAAGGACATAGTGTCACTGGTTATATCACCTGTATTTTAAGACAGTTTTAAATAAGTGTTTATATGCAGGACACCTTTCCCAGAAAGAAGTACCTTATCTATGTACTGTGGTCTGCCCTGCCCTGCAGAGCTGGTGGCATTTCCTCCAGGGTTCACCCTAACAGCTGCCCCAATAGTTAAAGATCTTACTTCCATGTGTACTGTCTCAGTTCCAAAAAGCCTCTGATTTTAAGTGAAGTTTTAATATCCCAAGGAAGCTCCCAGACACACTGCCTGCCTGGGCTGTCCACATCATTATCAGAGGTACAAATGATTATTTTTACTAGTGCTCTGATCAGAGGTTGCAAAGTTTTTGACTCATCTCTTCCAAATCTGTGCTTCCACAAGCAAGCCCTGTAGCTTAATACATGTGATTTAGCAAATTGCAAGCTTTTTCAGAAATGCACATATCGTGTTGTAGGAGAAACGCCAGCAACTGTCACAAAAGAGGCAGATGCAAAGCCTTCTCAGAGTTCAGACAGCAAAGAAATAAAATCAATATCAGGGAGCATGCTGTGGAAGAAGTTCCAAATGTCCAGGGGCTTTAAGGATCTGGCAAAAGCCATGACCAGCGAAAGTGGGAGCACAGGGAAGGAAGAGCGAGAGCAGAGTGCATGGAAAGAAACCATTGGTAAGTGCTGATCACATTGGTGAGGTGCATATATATTTTGAAGTAAAAATTCTATAAGATTGTAAAAATTATATGCAATGCTAGGGTTAATAAATTTGGGGGTTCATAGGTCTTTATTTTACTTCTATGTTAATAACTTGCTCAAGATACTGATTACTAAATACTAAACCTGAAGATGAAAGATGGCCAAAACAATTAGCAGGTATATTTTTTTTCCATGTATAGGGGATTTTTTTAAACCTGTGTCTACAAATATTGAGAATAAAATGTCAGCACTCACATAGTCAGTTGTCATTAAACAAAGAGACTTTATTGTCTTATCAATTGCATGCTACATGATAGATTTGCAGAAAGAGTGATTTTTCAGTGGTACGTGAGCCACATCAACTTGGTTGATTTCTGCATGGATTCATAAGTGTTCACTAAAGTAAACTGGGGTTCATGGTAGAAGGTGGTTCAGGAGAATGCCTTTCCACAGTCCTGGCTTCCATGAGAATAGGAATCCCTGAGCAACTCCCCAGACTCTTTCTGTCCTGAGGCGGCTAAGTGACTTACTCATTAATAGATTTGGAAAAAATACATTTGGACCCTGAGTCTTCTGTCCGTCTTTGGGCTGGGAGTATCAGCTCTCGCTGGGTGGGTGGAATCAGCCAGTCTTGGGGTTTGGGGAGCATGGCCCACCTGCCCCTCACATCCAGCTTCATCTCCAATTAAACCTGCATCAGCAGTATACTCTTATTCTGTGTTTATCCACTTGTTCAGAATCCAGGCTAGAAAGAATATTTCACAAAAAGTATTCTCAATAATACCAACAGTGGTTTCCCTTCTCAAAATTGCTCAATACATGTTTTTAAGTTAAGAAGTTTTTCAGTCTAAAACATGGTCTTGAGTGATTTCCATAGCAAAGAGGAAAGTCCCAAAATGCAAAGGGCTCTTTTATTGTAATAACAAGACATTCTAGTATTCTTGAACAGATATCTTCAAAGTAAGCACACATTTAATGGATAATAATGTTCATGACAGTGGCACTAGAACTTATTAGACTTCCTTTTATTCTTATTAACATTTAATTTATAGACTGCTTTTTCATGTATTATATCACTTGAGTCCCTAAATGTATTACTTTTCTATTGATGTTATAACCACAAACTTAACTAAAGCGACACAAATTTGTATTTTACAGTTTTGTCTTGCTATTTATAGCTCAGATTGGCCTTGAACTCACAGCCCTTCTGACTCAGCTTCCTGAAGGTTGGGATTATGGGCTTGAACCACCATGCTTAGCTCTGTTTCTTACGGTTTCTAGGCAGAAATTCTAAAATCCAGGTGTTGCTAGGTTTACATTTCTCTTAGAAGTTGTAGGGAAGAATCTCTTTTCTTTTCTAGTTCCTAAGATAACCTAACTTCTTTCAAGACCAGCGAGTTAGATCTTCTCTCTCTCTCTCTCTCTCTCTCTCTCTCTCTCTCTCTCTCTCTCTCTCTCTCTGTGTGTGTGTCACATCTAACGTCTTGTTTGCTCTGATTATTCCTCTCCTGCCTCCATCCTTTCCCTATAAGAGCTCTTGTTATTGCATTGTTTGCACCTGAGTAATTCAGGATACTCTTCCCATCTCAAGATTCTTAACTTAATCACATCTGCAAAGTTATTTTGTTATATAAGACAACATAGTCACAGGTTAGTGAGATTTAAGATATAGACACCTTTGGGAGCCATCAACTCTTTTATCACAACTCGTTGGTGTGTTCATGGAATGAACCTCTGGCATATTAATATGGGGTCCTCTCCTCACCCTTAAGGTCTGTAGCATAGCAGACATGAGGACCATAAATCTTGCCATCAGTGCTTTGAGGCTCCATGCCTATCAGCAATCTGAAAGTAATAGGAAACTTGATGTCAAACACTGGGAATGCTGAATATCACAGTTTTCTGAGACTGTGATACTGGTCAGAGCAGGCAAGAGATTAGCCAAAAATTGAAGAGGGTTGGCTAAGTAACAGAACAGTTGTAGCAGGCTTTGACAAGCTCTAAATATTCTTGAGCATCTGGAAGCTTTCACACATATTCAGAGTTGAGGGTACATTCAAAAGCAGCCAGAGGGTCATGATATCTTGTGCACCTAACTCAGGATGAGGCTTCATTAGTGACATAGGTGCAACTTCATATAATGCAGGGACTTTGAATGTGTCCTCCAAACCACATAGAGATACCACAGACAAGAATAGAAACCTCCTGCCCTAAGGTACTTAGGGAAAAAGTCTGACAAAATATTGATTGGCCACTGAATTATTCTGACCCAAAAGCGGTCTCTAAGAAGTCAAGTTTAAAAGTAAAAATTAAAATGTGAACTGCTGCCATCACATAGTGAAGGTAGGAAGAGCCCTCTTCCAAGGGTGGAGCCCCTGGTCCAGACCACCTAGTTACCCAAGGCATAAGTGTGAAGCCCTCTCTGAAGGTCCTGGGAAAGACTTCAGGGTGTCTGGAGTGAGGACAAAGCCCACCGAGCCCCTTGGCCCAGGCCAGGGAGGTGGGGCAGCCAGAGTCCCTGGAGTCTGTCTCTTGCTGGTTAGAGCTGGAGGAGCGAGATGTGATGAATGCCTCCAGGTTCAAGGTGATGGACACTCTGAGACCTGCCGTCTTTCCCCAAGCACACAGAACAGACAGTGAGGATAGCCATCATGGTCCAGATAGTGTCTGTGTGGGAAAATTCTGGGAAATTGATGATTATATGAAATGCCATTAGGAAAATTAGGGCAGGTTGGGAAATATGACCAAAGCCTGTGATTGTGCTGCATTTGGAAAACTGTCTTCTTAATACAAGTTTTTTTCTTCTTCAAGACAAAATGTGGCACACACGGAAAAAGTTTGAAACATGATATAGATTTCATTAGAAATTACGCTGGAAAGAGTCCAGGTCGGTTTGGCATACATGGTGTTTCATTCCTTCATTATAAACATGAGCAAACTGTTTTTGGAATAAAACTGTGTGAAACGAATGAATGAATCTGGAACGACTCTCATCAGAAAGTCACAGTTTACGTGCTAACACTTGTTGGGGGAGAAAATCTTCTGAATGCAGTTACTGTGGGAAAGTCTTCAGCAGCAAGTCATACTTTGCAAGCATTAGTGAACTCATGCAGAGGAGAAACCCTGTGGACACAGAGGATGTGGGAAAGACTTTAGTTAGCAGTAAGCCATGCCTCATTGCACATGAGAAAACTCATGTAGGGAAGAAATTACATGAATGAAGTGAATGTGGGAAATGTTAAGTTTTTGAGTCACAACTGGTTATACACCATGCTTCACATAGGTGAGAATCCCCATAAATTCTTCAGTAGGAAAAAAGTAGGAAAAGTCTTCAGTAGGAAAGACAAGGTCATTTCACAACAGAAAATTTATTCAGTATAGGAACTCTGAGATTCCTGAACGAGGAAATACATTTGGTTTGAAATCACAGTTAATTGTACATGGAAGAATTCAAACAGGAAAGAATTCAAACGGGAAAGAATTCACTTGTATGAGTGAAGTGAATGACAGAAAGCATTTAATACAAAGTTAAACCTTATGGAAATTAGAGAACACCCACAGAGGAGAAGCTCTATGGTTGTTTTGAATTTGCAAAGGCTTTATGCTTAAGTCACTGCTCATTTTCCATCAGGAGTTCAATTAGTGTGGGAAAGCATTCAGCTTGAAGTCACAGCTCATCAGGCACTAGAGAAATCACACAGGAGTAAAGCCATATGGATGCAGTGAGTGGGGGAAAGGCTTCATGAGCAAGTCTTACCTCATTATATGAAGGCAAACACTGATAGAAGAGTACAGTGAATGTGGAAAATCCTTCAGTTTCGATTCAAAACTCATTGTGCATCAGAGAATTCACACAGGAGAAAATCCCTATGAGTGTAGGGACTGTGAAACAGCCAGCTTACTCAACATCAGTGAATTCATGCAGGAGAAAAAACCAATGGATGCAGCAAACACGGGAAAGCACTTAGCAGCAAGTCATATCTCACTTCACACCTGAGAACTCATTCAGGACAGAAACTTCATGAGTGTAGTGAATGTGAGAAGGTTTCATTTTGAAATCACTACTCATTGTACACAACTGAGCTCATGTAAAACAATGTCACTAGAAATGTAATCAGTGTGAAAAAATCCTTCAGTGGGAAATTACGGTTCATTGTACATTGGATGACACACAGAAGGGAAATCCTATCAAAATAATGAATATTAAAAGGACTTCATTAAGAAATCTCAGGTCACAAAGATCTATCAAATAGCATTCAAAAGTATCACCAAAAGGGAAATAGGATATATTTCACTAATATCAAGAGATTTTATTTTTCAAAAATAGTTAAAATTATAGAAAACTGAGTAAAAATACCATTGGATAAACCCTGAGGGGAATTCCAGACTGTATAGGGGATCAAAATCCAGAACTGATACAATATATTATATAAAATTCCAATTTTTAACCAAATTTATAAGACAGGCAAATAAACGGATAGGTGTGGTCCAAACACAGGGAAAAATGAGGACTAAATAGAAAAAAGTTCTGAGGGAACACAGGTGAACAAAACTTTCAAAGCAACTATTATAAATACATTGCAAAAACTGAAGGAAACCATGTTTAAAGAATTAAGAGTGTAATGTCAATGACTCATCAGAAAGAGTATATAAAGGTAGAGATAGAAATCATAATAGAGTCAAATGGGAACTCTGGAGGTGAAAAGTGCAGTAACGGAAATAAAGAATCCATTAAAGGACTCAACATGATATTGGATCTAACAGAGGGAGAATCCACTAATGTGTACATATGTTAATAGAGATTGTCTAAAATGAGAAGTGTAGAAATGAAAATGACTAGTGCTTGAAAGAGCTATTGGATACCATCAAGCATATCAAATTCTTCATAGTAAGAGTCCCCTAAAAAGATGAAAGTGTGAAAATGACAGAAAAAATTGAAATATGATAATGACTGAAAACACCACAATTTTGATTA